GCTCGCTGTTGCCGCCATGTTAACGACGACGACGACGACGGTGCCGATGCCACAGGCCCCGGCCCGTGCCCCCCTCTCGCCTCTCTCGCGACTGCCGCTCTGCGATGCTCGGAACGATGTTCGCGCCACCCCATCGACGAACTTCCTCGTTGCCCTGCAACCTTCCCCGCCAAGTCGCCGGCGGTGCTCTTCTTCTAACGAGGCCTCCCCCCCCCCCACGACTCCCGCCTCGACTGCGGCGGCACAACGACGGCGGCCCGCGGAGCACCTCGCGGATGGCGCCACAATTCTCCCGCTTGTTTTACTTGTTCAGTTCTGGGGGGTTCGCGCGACAAACGAGACGCGTTGTGGGGGTCTAAGATGTTCGCCTTTTAGCTCGCTGGGTGTTATTTTAGTTGTTGCTGTTGTGGTTGAGGAGACTTTAAAGTCTTGACGAGGAGATGCGTCCGCCCGGCCTCTCCCCCTGGCCAGGCCCTCCCGCAGCCCTCGCGTGGCCTGGGCCCGCCCGCCCGCCCGCCCGCACGTCGCACATGGCCGTGCTGCTGCTGCCCCCCTCCTCCTCCTCCTCGCTACTTGCCAAGAGGCCTGCCCGCCCAGCCGGCTTGAGCAGCCGCTGCTGCTGATGCTGCTTCGTCTTCCTCCCGCACCCCAACAACCCCTTCTCTCTCCCTCTCGAGCTGCACGGCCTCCTATCGCCTTCATTGTCCCTGCCTCCTCGGCCTGCCCGGCCTCCCGTGGCCTAGCCGGGTTCCCCAATCACGATACATCAGCTGCGGTAGCCTGGCACGCTGTGCTTTTAGCCCCTAGCCACCCTGCCCCTATGGCCCTGCTGCTTGTGTGTATATGTGCGTTGAACTTCTTTCGCACCGTACGTAGCCAACCGCGCGCGCTGTTCCCGCGGTCCGGCTTCGTCTTGTACGGCCTACGCTGGCCTTCCGTGGCTCTACCTGGCATCGGAATAATCCTCTCCCCAACCATGTCCACATCTTCCCAGGGCCAGCCAGACTTGGTGCATGGCCAGCCCTCTCCTGCCCTGTCGGTGCGGCCTGACCACCACCGCCCCCCCCCCCCCCGTGTCCTTTTCTGGACCTGTGTTTGCCGAACATTCTAGCACCGTTAGGTTATTGATCGTCCACCACTGCGGTCCACGACGATCTGGTCTTCACTTGGTGCCCTGCCATGTCCCAGCCTGGCCAAGCTGCCCCCCACACGCACACAAAGCCACCGAAACTTTGTGTGGGGGCGCCATGATGGCGTGCACAGTCGCGGCGCGTCTTGGTGACTTCCACCGCGCTGCCGACCGACCCTCTCGCTTCTCGACGTCGATTGCTTTGCACAGCATGTGCAAGCATCTCTCGCGTGCACGCTGTGGTGTATGCAAGCATGCGTACTCGTCCATGTTCACTCAATGTTTCGAGGGGGGGGGGGGGGGGGTCGAGCCGAGGCAGCAGACTTGGCGGGGAGACGTGCCACTAAATAATGTACAAGAATAACAGCAGGCCGCTAATAATTGTTTTTAATTAAAATACAGGAACAATGAAATGCACGTTTGTCCCGGTATAGGGCACGTGTAAGCAGTACGTGTTGTAAATGTGCTGTGGCTCCAGCTACGACCTTTTGGGTTTACTACATTCTTGCACGTGGCTGAACGGCGTGGGAACGTGCTCAAGTCGTCAATTGTGTAAAATGTGCATTTACAGTGGCTGGTGAACTTCAGGTCACCAGAAGCTACTTGCTGCTAAACCACATCTCGCTTGAAATTCTGCAGCTCCCCATTAGCCTTGATTTGTTTTTCTATAGTTTTTTTGCAGTTAATTTCACACCCCCCATAAAACTCCCGATATTACATCCCGTGCATGCCGAATGTGTATGCCCTGTATAAATTACCCAATTGTCTTCTGTGTACAACTCCGGCGGTCCATTGTTTCTCGCCTCTGGTCTTGGGCCTCTTGCAAGCGGCACATGCTGTACCTACACAAAGCCGTGATTTTTTTTTCAAGTCGTGCATCTTGTGTTCCTTTTAAACGTCCGGTGGTGCCGCAGGAGGGAGTGAAGACGGAGAATGATCACATCAACCTGAAGGTGGCGGGCCAGGACGGCTCCGTGGTGCAGTTTAAAATCAAGCGGCATACTCCTCTGACCAAGCTGATGAAGGCGTACTGCGAAAGACAGGTGAGAGCATCCAGCTGTACAATGACTTGCCGGTAGTGCCGGCGTTTCCATAACCCCGTTTGTGTTCACTTCGCATCCTGCTCACAGCACCCTCCGGAAGTATTCGTGTTGCACAAAGTACGGCTGCATACAGCGTTCTGAGTAATGGATGTCCGTGTGCGCTGCTTGTTGTTTGTATCGAGTGCATCTTGATCTGTTTTCCCCGCTAGTATGTACAATGAGTAATTCTTTGTTCCCTCGAGAGGTAGATCTGTAAACCGCTGGAAAAAGATTTGGTGTTGCTCTTAAGGCTTTATTTCGATTTTAATGCAATCGTGTTTTTGTTCTGTAACACAGGGGCTGCAAATGCGTCAGATAAGATTTCGGTTCGACGGGCAGCCCATCAATGAAACGGACACGCCAGCACAGGTGAGAAGTTTACGTTACAGCATCGCTAAGCTCGCGATCACGTGCTTGGCAAACACCTGCACTTTAAAAAACTACACGTAGCTGCGGCTGTACATTACACATGTATAAGCATGCAAGATAACCAGGATGGACCCAGTGGCCCACTTTAGATTTTGAATGGTAACGAGCAAGAGTTGGGGCCAGGTCGCTTCTGGAAAACTAATAGCTCGGTGGGCTTCACCTGGTAAAATAGTCTAGTTTTTATTTATTTTCAGTGATACGTTTAGCTTTCCTATACTTTGCACTCCCATCGTTTTTTTATTTGTTGCAACTTTCTGACCGTGTCCTGAATGGACATTTGTGAATAAAATGAGCTCAATAGTTAACCGGATTTCTCCCAGGATAAATAAATATTCTGATTTGTGGGTTAACTCTGTAACCGGAGGTAATGTTAAAGGTGTGTGTGGTGTGTGTGTGCTCGCTTGGTGTTATCTTTGTTGCTTGACAGTTGGAGATGGAAGACGAAGACACCATTGATGTTTTCCAGCAGCAGACAGGAGGCGGGTGCTAAGCAGACAGTGGCAGAACCTGGCCTCCCACCGAGTAAAAAAACTAAAAAAATGGTCGCGTTTCTTTTTACTGTTCTGTCAACTCGGCCCCCGAAGTTATCCCCCCACGTTCAATAGCGTCGAAGCAAGCGGCATTGCTGAAATGGAAAAAGGACCAGTATGTTGTGTTAACACCATCTGGAAATAAAAGTAAGGAAAATGCAGTCATTTACAAGGGTCCTGTATTATTGTCAGTTTTAGTAATGAAATCTTACTCGCTAAATGGAGCACCTTCATTTTTTTAAATTCTCGCTAATGCATTTTTCAAAGCTAATGCTGACATACTGTAACTGCTGGTTTTGATGGCAATGGTGGCCATCTTGAATTATGTACCCCTTTCTGCAAGTGACAAAGCCCAATTAATAGGCCCCATTGATATGATGTGCAGTGCATTATACAAAAGACCCTGAGTGGAAGCCCCCATTGATTAATCTTTTTGTGATGGTTTGTAATTTCACTTTGTTTTGAATTAGAATGTAATAAATGGTCCTATTCTATACCATTTGACTTTGATGAGCATTCGTTATGATTTAAAAGGATTCACAAAGGGTTTGTCACATTTAATTTTACGTGCATGTTGTAGTGAATGCAGTCTGTATTTGTGTAGAGGTTGGAGGATGGAAACGTCCAAGAACAGCGGAGTTGATCAGTTTATACTGAAAAGGTGTAGTTTGGGAATGAGGTAGGATTTGTGAATCTTTTTAAACAAAGTGCTGCCATTTTCCTCGCTATATTTTTAGCTAAGTTTTACTTTTCCAAGAGTGTACAAACACAGTAGGCTTTCATGTTTATTGGTCTTATCTTTTGTTTACTTGTACTTCACGTTCATTTAATAAAGTGTTTAAAAGTTACGTCATCAGGAGTGTTATGTTCTCGCAACCAAATGGTCTGATTTCTGAAAGCAGTCTACGGTGCAACCTTCACAGCAGAGTGGCTGATCTGATTAAGCAAACCATGAGCTCTGTATTCCCTTTATAAAGCAGTTAAGGGTTATTTCAAGAACTATTTTTGCAAACTCGATTTAGCTCGATGCTACACATGCTCGTGCACCCCACTTGAATGTTTTGTAAAACGTCCTGAATTCCACTGCATTCCAATCCTCAAGTGTCCTCTACTCATTTGTAGATGGGATATTGTTGAGGGGAGGTGCTACCGACTGGTGAACCTGTACAACCATACGGTCGTGTTCATCCAAGCCCATTCAAAAACAAGGTCATTGCTCATTGGAAATGGGACCAAATGAAATTTGGTGAGGACTGTCCTGATTTGAGGAAAATATGCCGAGAGTAATTTCATCCACATGCATTACTAAAATAACCATCGTTTTATTCTTGCAGTCAAATGTAAAAACTACAAATTGCATTCACAATTCCAATCCTGGCCATGGGTGAGAAGCACTTCCAAGGGGCGCCATCTTGAATTCCAACCTCAAAGCATTGTTTTTGCTCGAGTCGTTATTACATTCTCCGCCGCTAGGAGTCGTTACTACATTCACCACTAGTTATTACATCCACCACTAGTTATTACTTCCTCCACCACTAGGTGGCCACACTCGATATGCGAGCTTTGCTTAACCGAGTGAAAAGTCAACCTGGAATGTCTTTTTTTTTAACAGCAAGTGACCAGTCAAAGCTGATGTCCTTTTCGGGGTGAGCTGCATGCACCAACAGTGAAGGCTGAACTTCAAATAGAGCTCATCCACCAATGGACATGACGTGTCTGGGTTCATGTGGATTGCATGGCGTCACTCGAGCATTCGTGGTACGCTTTAACACCACGCGTGAGGTGTCGATTGACCAGATAGAACCGAAAGACGAGCAGGAACACGGCAAGTTCTGTGACGCACAAATACTGCTTTATAGGTGCTTGGACAACATCACGTGGGTACATTGATATGGTACAAGGAGGATATGCTTCGACACAAACACAACAGCTGCAATGACGTTGCACTAATACAGGGAAACCATGCTTGTTATGCACCTACATTAACAGCAGTTATTGTTCTCAATGTACACACCACACCAGCAACGGCGTTAGACGGCACACACACACACACCTTTAACGTTTACACAATGTGCACAACAATTTCATCCGCATTTGTTCATTAATTACAAGTCGAGAGTAACAGCAGGTTCCTTTGTTTAGCAAGTTATGGATCTGTACAGAATTAGTTGCATGGGGTTTTTTATATTTTAAAACGGGTAGTGTTTACACAAACATGCTGTTAAGCCGAGGTAAAAGATTTAAAAGAAGGATTTAAGGTGCCCCGAGTTGCTCACGTGGCAAGGTTTTGCGCAAAGTGCTCGCGCGAGCTCCACCGTGTATGACTCGGAGCCGGGGCTGGGGCTTGATCATCGATGGACTTCCCCCCGGGGGGTTGGCGACCACCGCAAATTCTCGCCACAGGTTTGGGGCCACAAAACGATGCTCACGCAACTTTAGCCGACTTCGGGAACGGCAGACCGGAGCGCAATGGGGGGGGGGGAGGGGGTGTGAATCGGACCCTGTGTGTGTATTAGCATTTGGAATTCCAAAGTGATGCACTGTTGTCCTTCCACCAAACCTCCAGATTAGCTGGCTACGTACGGTGCGAAGTTCAACAAACATGGAAAATCAATAACTTTACAGTTTTTTGCATTTAAAAAAAGGTTTTTTTGATTCACAACTTTCAACTTACTATGTTAACATCGGGAATACCGATCAGATGACAAGCCGTTGCACACGATCCACGGTGGAATTGTGGCGAACCTTCGGGAAAACTTTGTGTAAAGTTTCCGATACTTTCCTATCCTCTAACCCACCCACTCTGTGCAGGGCAGCTGGCTCCATAAGACTGCATTACATTTCATTTTCAAGTGGGGGAGGAGGTGGGTGGGGATCCCAAATGCGTTATTTCATTTTGTGTGGAGCAAGGACGAGGGTGAGGGATGCTTTTCCCTGTGGTCTCACCGCGCCGTCCTCGGTGCGCTGTGCAACATGACGAGAGCCGTCATCGCAAACGGACAACACAAAAAAATCAAGTTGAATAAATAAAATAACAAAAATAATAAACGCAACCACCCAAGTCCGCACATGTTCACCGAGGGTTCAAGATTAAGTACGCGCTCCTGTGCCCGTGTTTCATTCGCATACAATTAAGGCTGCATAAACACTGCCCCAGGCAATGACTTCCACAAATGTTTCTTTATACGGAGCATACATTTGTCTGATTCGGCATCTTTCAAGTTTAGCAAAACTTGGATTTTTTTTACAGGAAAGTTAAAACGAAGCTCGGGGATGTTTCGCTGCACGTTTGTGTCGAAGTCCGCAATCGACCGAAGCAATCGCTGCCACCTTGCTACGATGATGTAAAGTGTCTTAGGACTGCTGAAGTCCGACCGGCTTCAATTCACTCAGCGGTTGTCAACAGCCCCGTGAGCGCGGCACGCAACCCCGGGGGGGGGGGGTGACCACACCACGGTGAGCTCAACTCTACAGCCACCGCCGAGGGGCCTGCCGTGTGGTCCAAAGTTATCTTCTTTCTGTCACACGATTAATCACATGGGCACGTGAAGGGTTTTCATTGATTAGTGAGATTTTCGAAAAATTAACACCGATACAAAAAAAAAATGCACAACTCGACGAATCAAATGGGGGCGGCTTCGGCGTTCACGCCCCCCGGGGGGCAGCCACGACAGCGGCGGCTCGGTAACACCCCCGGGCGTAAAATGGAACGCGTCGCTGTCGCATGCAAACTCGCGTTCGTCAGCGTGTGGACACCTGACCGACGGGGAGTTCCATTTTTAATGTGGGGGAGGAGGAGGGGGGGGTGGATTTCGTTTTCTCTTTTAGTGCAGCACAAAGTGAGTACAATGAGCTCGTTTGGAACCGGACTGCTGGAGAAAGTTCTCCACACTCCAACGACACCGGTCGGCGAGCGAGCGGGTGGGGGAGTAAGCGCGCGGGGTCACGTGACCACTCGCCCACCCCCTCCCCCCCCATGGATCCGGCAGTGCGGGTGAATAGGCGACTCTTGGAGCACTCCCGCTCTGTGGCTGCCATCACTCTTCGGGGCACATAACTTGCCAGACGATGAGGTGGCTACGCTCGGCTTTCGTGACGACGGGTTTCAACTTCCCCAAGCTGTCATCGGTGTCCTCCTCTTCCCCATCGCCTGCACGCAACACAGACGCGTGCACACACACACGCACACATACATACATACATATAGACACGTGGACACAATTGTGCACAATAATGCAATAACCTGGATATCCTCAAATGTTCTCCGCAGGAATAGTTCTAAATCTGGGTCTCATTGACACAAAGTCGGCCCTTGATGATGATGCTCCTGCTAGTTTAAGTTATATTCTTAGAGAACGCTTGTTGAGAATGTCTGTAACCTTGGGTGACATTCTTTGATCTGAAGCCTTCTTTCTCTCCTCGTATCTCTCATCTCTTACCTTCGCCTGGGTAACGTCTTCCGTATCTACAATTGTCCTACCCTTTCTGCTGCTGAAACCCCGTGTGTTGCTTTTGCCACATCTAATATTGACGACTGAAAGTCTCTTCCCTATGGCCTGACATCCCTCACTGCAAAACTCGACGATTCAAAACTCCAGAGTTCTGACTTGCACCCCATCAAGGAAATCACAAAACGCCAATTACGATCGCACGCCCACCATTTTTAAAATCCTAAATGGTCTTACACCAGTCGACCTCCCTCCTCGCCACTCCCCCGTTCAGACGGTTGCTCCCTCTCCTCTGCTGCCCCGAATGTTCAGAATTCTCTCCTCCTGGTGGTCCACGCTGCTGATCCCCCCCCTCCACCTCTAATCCTTCTCGCCTGCGCCCTTCACAAGTTAAGTCCTAATTACACTCTCCCTGATTTCTCCCACTCTCTTCGTCCTTCCATCTTTATCCTAATTGTTGCCCGGCCCCATTTCCTTTCTCTGGTTCCACGAATTAAGAGACGCGGTCCCCTTCATCGTTCAACTCATCGCAGTGCTCGTATGGCCAGCACTGCTGGAGAGTTGAGCTGTACAAACACCGAAACCAAAAATGGCTCAGAACCAATAGATGCTTTACAAGCACGGTCAGCTGCATGCATCGTCAACGTGAGAATCCATTTTTATTCAACAAGTCGATAAATTCCAAGTCACGTGGCCGCAGTGAGGAGGCGGGCTGACCCGCGTGACCGGTTTTGACCGGATGACCCACACGACTGGTTTTGACCGGTTGACCCGCGTGACCGGTTTAGACCGGATGACCCACGTGACAGGTTGACCTCCGTGGCCGGTTTTACCCGGCCGGACCGTGCATGCAGTCTCATGGGGGAGGTGCGGGGGGGAGAGGGGGGAAGGACCGACCGATGCGGAAGTCGATGTAGCCCTCTCCGCCGCTCATCACCAGCATGGACTTGAGGTGCTGCTGCGGCTGCTGCACCATGGGGTGGTGCGTCTCGCTCGTGGGGGACAGCGCAGTCTTCTCCCCAAAGTTCTCCGAGCAGCTCCTGCTCAGCAGGCACGCTCGCGCCGAGCCTGCCGCGGGCGGGGAGAGAGCGCAGAGTCAGCGCCAACGGCACGGCCGTGGCGAGGAGCGCGGCGGTGGCCGCAGCCTCATTGCCTGCGGACCTTCACGGCGTCAAGCTGCGTCGCAAGGCAGGGAGAGTCGACAGCGGCTCGGGGAGGACTTCATCCAGCAGTTGATTGATCGTGGCTGATGATTGTTGACGATGATGACTCGTGGTGTAAATGTTAATGAATAATTAAACAACATTGGACAAATATATGACTGGGAGTGAAATTATTCGGCAGCATTTGTTGATTGCAAGCAAACTCTAAACTGGTATCAGCATTCAGTGTCTCGTCAAGAGTCAACGAGAGCTGGTTCTTGGCGAGATCCCCCCCCCCCACACGGACACTGGGGGTCTGGCGCAAATCCCAACAGTTCAAGCAGTGGAAACGGCAGCAGCGTCGTCTCAACGAGTCTCAGGACTCACATTCAGGAGAGTCCTGCCAAGTCGTCACAGTTAGGGGCCATGCTGCCGCTGTGTGTGATGTCAAGTGAAAAGTCGGCCGGTTACACACATGGTTGTTTTTTCGCTATGGGAGGAAACCGGAGAACCCAGAGGACACCAGTGCAGAACAGGGGGAGGAACATAGAAACTCGTCACGTAGATAGGTTCAAAGAAAATAACAAAAAAAACTATCTACGTGACTTTACCGAAAGACCCAAAGACTAACATATAAACTCCACACGCACAAAGGCGCCTGTATCGGGGATCGAACCCTGGAACTTCTTGTTGCGAGTGTCACCAGTGCGCCGCCACCACCACCACCACCACCTTGCCGCCCGGCTCACCCGGCACGGCCACGAAGAACTTGACGGCGTCGCGGTGACCGTGGAAGCACAGCTGGGCCTGCAGCATGGAGCAGTAGGGGATGAAGGAGGCGGGGACCGGCGCCTGATCTTCTCCGCTCGTTTCCTCGTCCGTGTGGGCGCCGGTCGCAGGAGACGCCCTCCCTGGTGTCACGCGCACACACACGCACGTGTATGATATGAAAGACAAACACGCGCGAGCGTATTCGCGCGGTTATACGCGCATGCACACGCGGTTACGCCGGCACAACGCACGCGCGTACGTGCGGTTGTGCGGCACAATGTGCAAAAAAGCGCGCAAGCGACGGAGGCGCGCGTGCGTGCGTTACTCCGGCACAAGCCATGCGTGCGTGGGGCACGTGGCCATGGCCATGCGTGTGTGGGACACGTGGCCACGCGTGCATGTGTGGGGCACGTGCGTGAGACTGCGGCAGGGGCAGCCGACTCCCTCCTGTCCTGCTGCCCCGGCACGTGGCGACTCTCCCGCCCATCGCGCACACCTGGCGGACGGGCCGAGCCCCGTCGGGCGCCGGCGGTGTCAGGACACCAGGTGGAGTGGTTGAGCGTACCGACTCGCAAGCGGTTGAGCCGAGGAGCTGAACCGGTTACACCGGGGGAGCCAGGAAGACGACTCGTTTGGCCGCGACTTTCCATACAAAATAGCGCCGATCTTGAATGTCGTCGCACGACAGATTCGGTGACGCAGCCGCTGCCCTCGGCATGGAAGCAGGGAGAGCCCCGGACGCTCGAGGGGGCCAAGAGTGGGGCACCGATGGAGGGGCCTCGTGTGGGGGGCTCCTGCGCCGACGCAAGGCGGCTTACAGGGGACAGACCAATTGCTGCACTCGTGGGTACATAGCTCGGGAGAGAACACTTTCAATGCAGTCCCTTTAATTAAAATCGCTTTGCCGATTATTAACAGTGGGATTATTATTATCATTAAACGGTGTTGAGAGATGTCAGCGATGAAAACACGTGAGCAAATGGGAGCAATCAGGATGATAATGACTCCTTCCTTCAAGGCAGGCGTTTAGTCGTTGGGAAGCTTGCTCTGGGATTTGGAGAGCTGCTAAAGAAGACCGTGGCCGATGAAAGACGTGGACGTTGACGAATGTGACGACGGAGGGACCGAGCATTGGCAGCAGTAAGCGTTTGCGCAAGCGTAAGAGGTTCCGTTTGACGCGCGACACGGCCCAAAGAACGCAGCCGGCCGCACGGGCAACGTCTCGTTGTTCAAGCAGGGAGTTGTAGAACCCGTGCCTTGCTCAGAATGTAACATCACTGCTTATTTTACTCAATTGTTTTAAGAGTGTGTGTGTATATACACGTATAAAATCGTGGGTAAACCCAAAATATTTTACATTATCGCTCACCGATTCCAAACATGAAAAACCAGGAAGAAATGTTTTTATTATAAATTTCTTGAAAAAGGCACCGAAAGTTTTAGACAACACACTGCCGTGTGCTGCCAATATCCAGAATGAATAACCAAATAAATAAAACAAATCAGAATTTTATTTCGGACTTTTACAGCGTTTCCATGAATGTATAAATTCCAAGTGCCATGCCAGAGAGGAATACTCAGAAATAGGTGCGGTGAACGAGGAAGCAAGGCCTTATTTAGCGATTATGTCCGTACCGTTACGAGAAAGCTGATGTTGTTGTGATTGTGATTATTTGATATGACGCACTCCCTGTGAGCTTGCCAATTCATGTCAAACCCCCCCCCCCCCCCTCGGGTGGAAGGACCCCTTCCCATTGCCGGGGCGCAGGATCCTGCTGCGGTGAATATCAGAGCTCCGAGCCAGCAACGCCAAACTCGAGGTTTGAGTCTAGGGTCAAGTGCAGCTAAACGATTATCTCAGCCAGCTGGCCACCCACGAATCCACAAACAAGAGCACGGCATTCTTCACTATTGTCAATTTTCCAGCCGAGCGAAGCTTTAAAGGCTGAATAATGTAAATGAAACGTGAATATTGTGAATTCTCTCTAAGTAACTTAAAGCAGGTTTAACAATTTGTATATTTTTGGTTGACATTTTTTATATTATAGATATTTTTGTTACCACACATGTAACCGACCGCCGGGTGGCTCAGCGGGAGAGCTCATATCCTAGTTGGGGGTTAACTCTGCCCATCATCTCTCTGGGCTCAATAAAATTAGTACCGCTTTTTGGGGAAATCAACTACCGGTCACCCTGTGGATCGGCTCGTCCCCCACAACAGCAATGTGGAATTCCCCCCCACTGGTTCCGGGCTGTTAAAAACGGGAGATGAGCAACCAATGGCTCAACGCTCATATCAGCGGGAAAGCTCCAACCCTTTGTGGACACTTCGAGGGTATAAAACTGGCGTCCAACGCAACACGGCGGGCGACGGGCTGGGCACGCCGAACTTAGGATTGCGCAGACACGAGCTCGGCAAGACAGATGGCAAAACCTCCAACGACGACGAAGACAAAAAGAGCAAAAAATATTGAGACACGGAAGCCAAGCACGAGCACGTGCGGCGGTGGGGGGTGGGGCGGCGGTGGGAGGGTGCCACATGCACGCTCCGTCACGGCAGGCCTGGGTCCGTGCGCGCACAGAGCAACGGGGCTGGTCACACTTACCCCGCAAACCCAACACACGTCCCTCCATGAGCACTACAGCTAAGCAGGGAAAGGACAAAATTAGCCGCCGCAGTTTTGTTGTTTTGCACGTATACACACACGCACACACATCCATTTATAGATACGCTGCGAGAGGCTAAACTGAAGGGAAGATAAGCAACGTTTTAATTCAAAGCCTTGACACCACTCCCACCAATCTCAGCACGCTTCGTAAATCCTTTGACGCTCTCGGCCTGCGAGACTACGAAGCCGTCGTGCATTTGTCGCAGCCACCCTGACCAAGTGACGACTTCTCAGACCGAGACACTTAGCACACCTGACTGCCGGGTCTCTTTCTGGGTTTTGGAGAAAAGGAAAAAGTTGAAGATGGCCAAAGTAACATCCAACACCAGCCAGTAAGCAGCTCACCTGGCCACGCGAATAGTCAGCCGATCACGCTCACCCATATGGCTGCTTCGTGCCAGATGACCAGATAGTAAAAGGGTCGGTCAAGCGTGTGACATATCAGCTTACAGAGATCACCCGTCCGTCGGAGATCAAAGGGGACCAACCGGACAGCCAGGCTATCGACACCCAGCAAGTCGTGCCACCGGGTCGATGGCTCACCGGGCGACGGCTCTCCGGCCCACGTGGGCATGGATTTAGAAGGGCTTTGCCTCAAGAAAAGCGCAAACCAAAAAAGAGACACGTGGCTCTCATCTGGTAAACACGCCCCCCCCCCCCCCCCCCCCCACGGGCTGCGTGTGTCACGTCGAGAAGACTCCCAAGCTTCGTTGTCGACGCGACTTTAAAATCACGGTCAAGCACTCTGACCGCGCTTTAGTCTACATCCCTGTGCCGACAGAATGAGGCGATTGACCGTCGCTTTTATCTACTTGCCGAATGTTTATACTTCAAATTATTGGGATAGATTTATGTCGCGATACTTTTCGCCACCCGACACGGCCAAACCAAGGCAGGTGCGCCAGTGCTGAATGACGCACCAACTACCATTGCTTTCAGCTCGCCGAATTCTCACAACGGAATTCAGCGACGAGATTAAACATTTTTCCATTAGCGAAGGCTTCAAACCGGTTTGGGACAGGCCGCGGACGCTCGGCCTGGGCACAGCTCCCCAAGGCACAAGGTCCGGGCAATTTGCTTTGCTTGGGCCGTCTGTTAGTTTCGCAATGCTATTGCAGCGGCGGCGGCGTGCGCTGTACGGCCGGAGCACAACTTACTCTCGGTGAGCGGGATGGAGATGATGACGCCGTTGCCCGTGCCCACCCACAGGCGGTTGCAGGCCACCAGCAGCGCCGTGATGCGCACGAAGGAGAAGCCCAGCTTCCCTGTGCCTGCCAGACCGCACCGTTACGCACACCGGACATCGATCTACTCCCGGCGCGATCCGATGCGGTGGCGGCGACCGCGTTCGTCGCTCGAATGCACGTTTACGTTGAACGTCTTCCGCACCGTACGTAGCCAAAAGCGCTAATTGACTGGTGCGTGTGGGCGCGCGCGTGCGTGCGATGGGCCGCGGCCGGGTTACCCAGCATCTTGCTGACGTAGGGTTCGATGTCGACGTCCTGCAGGTGCTGGTGCGTGTGCGCGTGGTAGAGCCGCAGCGTCGAGTCCAGCCGGATGGAGACCCACACGCCGTCGCCGATCCACGCCAGCTGCCGCACCTGGCTCTCCTTGCGTGGGTGCGCATCAAACGATTTCTGTGCCACGAGACACGCGCCCCGACCGCCCGGATTTAGGTAAAGCCGCGTTCTGATTTTGTTGCAATGCTTGCGCATTAAACTAATTGGCACGAGGAACAGGCGTGTAGCCAAGTGCCACGACTTGATGGAATGTCACCGTCTGCCTTCTCAATATGATTCTGGAATTAATTGAGCATTGTTTCCAACGTCTCGTTTTGCTTCGTCTCGTTCGTGCCGTGTGGGTCCCACAACCACTGCTGATTTCCCCACAAAGAGGTGCTCGTTTTATCGACCCTAGAGGGAGGAATGATGGCCTGAGTCAAACCCCTCCCCCCCACAACCAGGACTTGAACTCCTCGCGAACTTCCGATTGCGAGCCGCTCGCTCCACTGTTGTTCCGCCCGTCCCATACACAACGCAAGTGCGTGGGGATGGAGGGTCGGGGGCAAGCGGGGAGCAGGGGTGGCGGAGGATGGGCAGGTGGGGGGGGTGGGGCGAGTCGCCCGCACCTCAATGCGCATGTTCTTGGGGTGCACCACGTGCACTTTGTTGCGGTAGCCGCACCACACGCGGTCGTGCACCACCGTCATGCAGCGGATCGAGTGGTGGGGCCGGCCCAGGTCCAGCAGGTGATAGTTGGAGAGGTCCCAGCAGCCCTCTGGCACGGGGGGGGGGGGGGGGTGGGGGTTCAGGGGAGCAACACGCGCAGGCATGAGCGCGACGTACACACAGAGGCGTGCGTCAGTGAAGGTGTGTGCCGGGTTTGCCGTGATGATTTAAAACATTGACATGCGATGATGATCGGGATTATTGGCTTCCCCCTTGACTGCAGTTTTAATGCAATTTCAGATGTCTATCAGCAACCGCCGCCTCGGCTCGAGGGAGCTCTACATACAGCCCCCTTCATAGGGTCATTGGCCTACTCTTTCACGCTGCCCAGACATCCTGTAAGAGGTGGTGCTACCCACACTTTATCCATTCGTCCTACTGCAAGGGAGGGGATTTCAGTCGTATTAAAGGAAGATAAGATTCAAGAAACGAATAGCTCTTATATTGCAGATAGTATCTAGGCTGTGCGTTCGATGCCTTCTTCCGTCAATCTAAAGCTTCGTTATTGAGAGAGAATCAAGACTTTGAGCTCAGTCGCCAACGCTCTCTCGTGTGAAGAAACTCGCTCTCTCGTTTCAACTGCCGTGCCCGGTGTGAGACATGCGGGGAGAGTGTCGGGAAAGACCTGTGGCACGGTGGAAAATGGCGAGTGTGCCATCAGCCAAGGCGACGAGCACCCTGCCCTTGACGTGCCTGCAACGTACGCACACAGACACGGCCGTAGGAGAACGCATGGTTACAGAGTCACACAGACACACACACGGCAGGAGAATGCACGCTATGTCTGTAGAACTTCTTTCGCACCATACATAGCAAACTGCGCCTGTGTTGTGCAAAACGCAGGCGTGCAAGACAGCGACAACACAAATCACGTTATTAACAATACGAGCACTCGAAGAAGGAGAGGGCATTCAATAGTACAATATGTCCGTGTAAACAGCGCAACGCACACACACACTGGTCACCACGTCACGGCGAATTTCACAACTTGCTCGGTGCGGCTTCAAGTGAACGTCGCGTCTCTCTATTTGGTCAATTTGGCGGAGTGATAATTGTTCTTCGGCTTATGGGCGAGCGAGCCGAAAACAACGACAACCGGCGCTTTAAACGCTCGTGCGCGCGACGATCAACACCTATTCTATTTCGGCTACGTCGAGTGGTGGAGGGAATGACGACATACATTTTTGGCGAGATCATTATGGGGCACAACCCAAGAAAACCTACCACGAATCGCGATGCCGCCTGCGAAACCCGACGCGTCAGACCGAACTAACGTTTGGCAGACGTGCAGGGCACTTACACGATGCTCAGCACCGCGTCCTTCAGCTTGATGGTATGTAAACACTTTTTCCAGTGCCGGGCTGCCAAGTGCACATAAAGGCTGCGCACACACACACATATGCACACATGAACATACATATAAAAAAGCGCTCACCATACGTTAAAGTGTCAAACAAACTCAACCCATCCTATTGGCAGCATGGATACAAGTACCTTACAAGGTTCGTATTGCCAATATTTGCACAGACCACTTGCCACGGCTTTGCTGGGCAGCACCAATGGTGTGCTGACCACAGGCCGAGAGCCAGTGGTCTCGACGCTCTGGTCATATGTTTGTCATGAATATCGTGATAAACATCTCCGGTAAGGTCAGCTCACAGTGGAGAAGCAAAGCGAGGCCGGCGGTGCGGTGCTGGTGGCCACAGGGACCCCCCATATCCACTGGCACCATCTGGGCCAAGCCAGCACGGCACGGTGGTTTTCCACTGGCTATTTGCCGGGTCGAGCCGGTAACCAAGCCGTGCTACACCGGCCTCACGACACGTCTGAATCTGGCTCGGGTGCCAGCTGTGCTGGGGGGCGGTGATGCGTCTGCAGCGCGCGCAAGGTCAGCCAGCGGAACTTAAGCACGGCGCCAGTGGCACGGCTCTGCTCGTGCGGTGGAAAAACAACGCCGTGCTTCCTGACCAGCGCCACATTGGCCCCAGCGAGGCCTCCCCACCAGTGCGGCTCGGAATCGCAAAGTGGAAGAGCGGGTTCAGGTTGTCCAGGTTGTTGAGGTTGTTGGGGGTGACGTACCATCCGTTCTGCGCGCCCAGCCACATGGTGGGCAGCATGCTGCTCAGCTCGCCGTCGCAGGCCGACGGGTCCTGCTCTGAGGAGGGTGAGGGGGACCCCTCTCTTGTCAGGGGGTCGTCCACCCCACTGCTGATCGCATGAGGCCGGGGATCGGAGTGAGAGTGCATGAGTGTTAAGTGGGGGGGGGGGGGGGGGGGGGGGTAGGGGATTGGAATGGAGTTGGGAAGATGAAGAAATAAACAAACCATTTGAGACATTTTGGCCAGAAGGCAAAGAAGATCAGGAGGTACAAAGTAAAAATTATTAAATATTGTGACTATTTGTCCCCTGCTGATCCAGCCCCTCACAAACATGGCCTGTAAAATTCACATAGATAGGGTTCAAAAGTTGGTTACTGAATTTTTTTTTATGCAACCAAGGACCGCGTAGCGACGCCACTGCCCGATTCGTTGGCTCGTCCGTAGCGTTTCAGACGCTCACCGCTCACTCACACCAACCTCGACACGAACGTAGTAACGCCGTAGATCAACATTCACCATATATATAGATCCTGGCTCGGCCTCTTAACGCAGGCCGACTCAGTCGCTTCCAGAGAGCTGCACGAGCGAGTGGATCGGCTCAATCCTAAGCGTGGCCGGGACCACGCCGAGAGCCGGCTCAAGACGAGCATACGGCTTTGAGCCGGGCTCACGTGAGCCAGAGGCAAAGCGTGAGCCGAGCTGCGACTAGAAACTCGTCCCAGGCCGTGGCGGCCCCTCACCCGGTGGGGTGCTCGCGGGCCGTCTCCGTGGGGCTCTGCACGCCCAGCGGGTCGGTGAACACGTGCTCCGTGTGCGGCCCCAGCCGCTCCGAGCCCGGCACGTTGGCGGCCGAGTCCACGTCCGTCGCCCCGGCGGCGATCTCCGTGGCCTCCGTGGCCTCCTCCGTGTTCGGGGCGTCCGGGCAGAAAGCGCCTCCGTCCTCCTCGTCTTGCGACGACGACGAGGTCCCTCCGGCAGGCGGTGGCGGCGCCGGAGGCCGGAGCCGACGCGGCGGAGCGACCTGCGGCGAGGGGGCACGGGCGGGCGCGTTACGCACGGGGCACGCCGCGGTCGGGCAGCCACGCGGGCGCGCCGCTCGCGAGGCGGACGGCGAGTCGCTCGGCGTGCGGCGCCCAAACGGTTGGAGCACGCCGCGTGCCGTGGGCAGGATCCGAGGGCGGACTACGAGGGTCGGCAATCTCCGCCGTGACGGAGATAACGAGAGGAGCGAAGAAAAATCAAGGCAAACTGGAAACGGAAAACTGGTGACGTGGACCGGGCCTCTGACTGGCCGAGTGAATACAGAAAGAGCGATGAAGGGAAAGTGCCGCTCTCTTTTCCAGGTAGAGGTGAGGCAGCATTCCATAGAAGTCCTCTCTGCCCGGCTTGGTGGCAAACCAAGAATTTTACCGAGCAGGGGCGGACGGCTGCATTTGCTGCCAGGCTGTACAAGCACATAAATTCACTGCAATGTGCATCTGCATTTCCGAGTCTCGATTAAACATAATTTCATATCTTTCACTGAGCGGCAAGAAGGTGTATTTGTACGTGCCGTGAGTGTATTTTTTTAAATAAACATTTTATCGAAGCCGTGGGCACATTTAAAATGGAAAAAAGGTCAATTATTTTCGGGGTGAATTGTGATAAATGTTGCCGTGCCGGTTGCCATGGTCACAGGACCGCGTGCAAACAGGATCAATGTGATCGATGGAAGCCTCCGAGGACATTCTGTTAAACGGCGTAAAGACTGATTGCGCAGAGGCCTTCTCATTACGTTAATTGGAGTGCGTTTAGTTTCGTTATGTTCGTTTAGGATAAAAGGCTAAAATATACGTCCATTTAGAAATACATTGTATTCCATTTCATTTATCGAAATGTTCCACGTGGAACGTCCCTTGAGGTACGGTGTCTCGTTTTGCCACGGTGTGCAGGTAAAACGTTACTTTAGTGATCGCATGGTAGGTAAGACAAGTTTGTGACGTCACGAGTCGCACTGATTGGGGATGACAAGGAATCGTCTCCACCAAGACTCCTGCGTCAAGTTCAGGCTCCGTAGGAGGCCCGTGAGCAAAACATAAATGGACGATATTTCAAACGTTTAGAAACCGCAGGCACCAAGTCTCAACGCGGCACCTGAGCCGACTTGTTCAGACATCGATTCGGCGGGAGCGACCGCTGCCTCAACACGTGACCCCGGAGGGGCAGCCGGCCACACTGCGGCTCGCTCACAGCCCGGGGCTGCAACGAGCTTCTCGGGCTGTGCCGCGCGTTGTTCGGCACGGGAATTTGCCACCGGCTCTCCGTACGCATGTACGTACAACTTCTTTGGTATCGTACGTAGCCAATCGCGCCAATCGGAGGTGTGGGGGAAGGACAACAAACCAAACACAAAGAGCAGTTATCAAGAAATTCGTTTTCACTGCGTGGTTGCCGATGCCTTCTCGGTTGTCTGCGGTTCCCGCACCTCCGATTGGCACGGTTGGCTACGTACGGTGTGAAAGAAGTTCAACACGCATACACACGTACGTTCCCCCCCCGCGGCTCCGAGCCGCCTGCGAGCGAGCGAACGCTGTCGTGCGGCGGTGGCGCAGCAGCACAAGTTGAAAGTGCCCCTGTGTTGTGGCTGTCCTCGTGCGGTGGTGGCGGTGGCCGTGTGGGGCGGGGGGGGGGGAGGTGGGAAGGCGGCCGCCACTCACCGGCGGCGCCCTTCTCGGAGCCGGGCGTGTCGGAGCAGGAGGGGCTGTCCGTCTGCAGGCTCTTGCATCCGACGGCGGCACACGAGCCGACCAGGGTGATGGCTCCGAGGACCCCTTCGCCAGGGCTGCCCTCCGGGGGGCTGCTGGGAGTGCCCGTGTCCGTCACCACTTCCCCGGCCGGGTAGTCGCCCTCCTGGTAGCCTGCGCCAGAGAGAGAGAGGGGGGGGGGGGGGGGGGAGACAATCGAGGGGGCGGGCTGACAAGATTGCCGGCGCAGAGCAAACGCGTTTCTCCGGATTGCAAGATGCACCTTCCTCTCTGTATTTTAAAAGGAAAATTCGGGGGTGCATCTTACAATATAGTCTTCAGGAAGTCTTTTTTTTAATGTGGTTGTTCGGAATAATCTTGCAGGAAAAGTATCTCCCCCATTTTAAAGCGGCGTGTTCATAATCATTTTCTGCAAGAGGGCTTTCCATTGAATGGCGTTCATTCTATTTCGGTACGCGACGTGGACATCAATGCCGGAATGTACTTTGTAATAATGTCAAACATTTTTTTTTATGATCGGCGGTGGTGGGGAAATAAGTCTGACACGAGGGAGATCCGAGTGCACGCGTAAACTCGGCGAACTGAGCGAGCGGCGGACGCGAGCCGCTCACCGGGCACGCTGGAGATGCAGAGGATGTGCGAGTTGCAGACGACGAACTGGTCCATGATGTTGGCCGGCTGGTTCGCGTCGATGATGATCACCTTGCTGGTGGAGTGCGTGCTCGTGCAGATCCACACCAGGCTCGGCGTCGCCTCCTTCTGCCGACGCCGACAAAACATTCCTCACTGCCGACGGCAATCCTGTTAAGTGCTCGCGCGCCCAGCGAGACCGGGCACGTCATTCACAGGCACTCTCCATTTGCCACCGATGGCTGCGTAAAAGGGTAAAGGTCAGCGCCGACCGCAGCGGCCTCCGCGCTAGAGGAGCTCTTGTCCCAGCTGGAAAGACGCATAGGAAGAGGTGGGAGTACCCACACTTTACCCCCACCACACTCGACCTGCCGATCGACTTATTGTGAGCTGCACTGAGAGAGAGAGAGAGATGGAGAGAGGGAGAGAGACGGGCACTGACCTTGTCGTACTGGCTGTCCCCGTTGGTGAGGGAGGGCGACATGCGCCTCCGGATGGCGGGAGAGGCGGGCGAGGGCCCCCCGGCCAGGTTCACACCGGCTGCACACCACAGCTGCACATGAACAGTAGTGTGTCATCATCGTCGTCGTCGTCATCATCATGAAAATCATCATCGTCATCGTCGGTGTCATCATCGTCATCGTCATCATTCACGAGAAATTAATTCATTAGGAGCGGGTGAAGGGACGGCCACTGCACCCGCACACGGTGGAGGGGGGCGGGGGGAGTGGGGGCAAGCCACCCCAGGGGCCCTGCCGGCGTAATCCAATCAACAACCTCATCAGCCATAATCAATCCAATCCCTCGCAACCACGCCACGTGACAATTCAACCAGACCCTGCACTGTGCCACCGCTCCTCCCAGACTTTGTATCTCACCGCCGAGCTATTTACTACTCGCAGCTGCTGATGGGGGACTCACCTTCATCGTGGGGTCTTTCTCCACGAGCGGCCTGCAGTACACCGGGATGGCCATGTTAACCACCTTGTTGTCCTCTTGCCCTTCGTTGGGACTCTGGAAGTAAATAAGCTTTTTAATGTTTAATCCAAGATACTCGGTGTTGAATCCAAGGCAGGTGTGCCAGCTCTAACGGGTTGGCAGGGACAGCGATTGTCCACACAAAGGCGTAGATTGAACGCAACATAAACCAGGTGGTGAGAACTCAAAGAGACCAGGAAGTGAGTCTCGTTTGCAAGAGTGATCTGGGGCATCGGTCTGACCGTATAATCCCAATTCAGTTATTTCGAATTTGGCAAATGTTGACTTTGCGATGGGTAAGCCTTTTCAGCCAAGGCGATGATGTCACACGCCACGCTTTCGCGTAGATTCTCACCACCAGCATCACACGTGACATCACACGTGACATCAAACGTGACATCAAACGTGACATCACACGTGACATCACACGTGACATCACACGTGACATCACACGTGACATCACACGTGACATCACACGTGACATCACACGTGACATCAAGGACTCTGCGTGCACAATTTCTGTTCCTTTTTCTTGGTGGCGCCTTTTTTCTTTCTTTCACCGGGCAGGCAAAATGCACTCCGGGACACGAGTTTTATCAGTGCATTTTAATATCGCCACTCTCTTTGCAGGGTGCCACGGTGGCAAGATGTTAACTACCTGGCCTGGTATACAGGAGATCGTGGGTTTCATCCCGACCCTGACAGTGTGTCTCTCTCCCCATGGTCATGTTGATTTTTCTTTGGGTCCTCTGCTTTTTCCCTCCACATTTAGAATAAGTTACTTTTCTGAGTTATCATGAGTGGCTGGGTCGCTTCTGAAAAAGAGCTACGTGGCTCAGTGGGGCCTTTAACCTGGTAAATAAAAAATTTAATTGTTTTTTAATAGTTTGGAAAAGCGGTGAGCGAGCTTCCTGGACTAGCGGGCGGCGGTTCACCTGCTTGTGCTTGGGCGGCAGGCTCCAGCCGAAGGCTTGCAGCCGCCCGTCCTCCTTCTGGACGTGGGCACGCACCTGCCGGTACTGCTCGCGCTTTTGCTCGCGCCGCGCCGCCGACGTGTTCTCGCTGCTGGCGGCACGAGCGGGGAGTGGGGGGGAAGGGGGTGAGGGGGCGCGCGGGAGACACGCACGCGCCACTGCGTGAGCAGACGCGCGCGTTGGCACGCAACGCAAACTGCACGCGCGAGCGGGGGGATGCGGCGCTCGTGGTAAAGGTCCAGCACCAGCAGCTCCGTCGAGATAACGGAGATGCGAGCGCACGTAACACTACACGCAGAGACGCACAGACACACACAGACAGATCCCCAGTGTAGCCCACACAGGCCCCCGGGCCACGTGCTGTTAGGAAGCACCTATTAAGGCCGGCATGGCACACGAGGCCGGTACCACACCTGGTCACCTTCGTCTCCCCAAGTGCTGATGTTTACGCACTGTCAAATGTACTCATTTAATGCCGACTCGACCTAGAGGAGGCCCCAGGACCAGTTCAGATAATCACCACTGATGTCAGCCATGACCGGGAATCGAATTCGGAATGCATGCGTGCACTCACGTATGCACACGCATGCACACATACGTGCACACATACGTACACACACACATACATGCGTGCGCACCACGGCAACGGGAGACCCACACAGCGTTTCGCAGCCAAGTAAGACGTCGGCACAGGCTATGGGTAGGCCCTCAGCGGATTGACCAAAGGGCAAGGGAAGGCCGATAGGCCTGACGATCGCTTTGAGGGTTTATTTGTGGCAAAGAGGCGTCGCGGTGAAGAAGTGCCACCTCCGCGCCGTGCCCAATGGGGGGGGGGGGGGTGCCACCCGTTGCCTGTGAGTGACGCAAGCACACAGAGAGGGGCGCTCACGCGAGAAGACCGCCCCCCTACACCACCAACCGGCCGACCGACGCATCCGGGGATAGAACCACAGAGTCCCAGAGCTCCTGCAAGAATGCTTCGCGGCCCGTCCAGTGTGAACCCACCACCCGCCAAGCTGGTTAAACTTCACGATTGTTCACCTTGTGGGTTTGTGTGTTTAAAGAGCACTGCACTTAATGCGTATGAATGCAATCCGCAACATCTGTTAAATACCAGGTGAAATCGAAACCTGATAATTCCCACTTGTCATAATTCCCACTTGTCAAGAACAAATCGTGTCACGTTATCAACCGATTGTGCTCGTGGTTCTCATATTCGCTGCTCCTTGTCGGGGTGACGAGGGCAAATAAAAGCGCCGCAGCTTTGCCAGAATAAGCTCAAGCCAAGACTGGACGAGCCTGCAACGAAACGGTGTTTCTACTTTGCCAGTAGATTGAAATTATACGGCACGTTACAAAACGCCACAAGAAACAACTTCACGCTCGTAAACAAACCCAACGTGCGGAACGCGGCGAGCAGCAGCGCCTGCCAATTCGTCACCCTCCTATCACACAAACGCAACCCCATTAGAGCAAATGACGATACCGGCAGCAAGCGCTCCGCACCGAGCCCCGTGCCAAGGAGGCCAGAGTGGCGCGGGGGGGGGGGGGGGATGTGGTGCCTCTCCCGTGCATACTGTTTGGGCAATCCTTTGGAAAGGACGACGTCTTCCTTAGACCGGACCTTCCTGAGGAACAAAACATTGCGGCGGTTACGGTCGGGATGGCCGCGCGGCGCCGCGGACGCCGTGCTGTGCAAGCACGCGGCTCAATTTAGGTTTTAGATTTTAGTTCTCATCGTGCCTTTAAAAGGGTGCAGAGGTTTCTGTCTTTCAGCCCCCGAATGAGGCTTTGAGCATCCAATGACGATGATAGATTAACAAGACGCAACCCAAACTAAAACAGCTCTGTCAAGTTTACATGATGTGGGTGAGATGAGTACAGGCCCAATATCCAGCAACAAACAGCACGTTTTGAAGCTAAAATAAATCAGAGTTCATACATTGCTTGAATTGAGCAAGGTTTCGATTACAAGACCTTGGGAAAAGAGACGATGCCAGGGAATTTCCAAGCGGAGCAGTGCTCGGGAAGAAGCAGAATGAGAAGTGATGTGACCTGCAGTGTGCTGAGTGGGTGGGTGAATTGGTGAATGGGTGGGTGAATTGGTGAGTGGGTGAGTGAGTGGGTGGGTGAATTGGTGAATGGGTGGGTGAATTGGTGAGTGGGTAAGTGAGTGGGTGGGTGAATTGGTGAGTGAGTGGGTGGGTGAATTGGTGAGTGAGTGGTTGGGTGAATTGGTGAGTGAGTGGGTGGGTGAATTGGTGAGTGGGTGGGTGAATTGGTGAGTGGGTAAGTGAGTGGGTGGGTGAATTGGTGAGTGAGTGGGTGGGTGAATTGGTGAGTGAGTAGTTGGGTGAATTGGTGAGTGAGTGGGTGGGTGAATTGGTGAGCGAGTGGGTGACTAGGAGAGTGAGTGGGTGGGCGAGTGGGATTAAAAAGTGTGGTAGACCGAGACCTCAACATGGGTGGAGGAATGAGTGAATGAGTGAATGAGTGAATGAAGGAGAGTAAGCGAGAGAGTAGTAGGGATAGAAGAGCGATAAGGAGGTGACTGAGTGAAACGACCGGAATGAATCAGCAAGTGCTGAATCATCACCCAGCCTTTCATTTGTTTTGTTTATATATATATTTACATACATACGTGTGTGTGTGTGTGTGATTACACAGTTGCCGAGCACAGGCCCCAAAGGGAGCCAAAACGGCAGGCGGCCAGCAACAAACGGTGATATTGAAGGCGTAATAAATAGTGCTTAACACGTTAACCCGACCGGGTCATCGTGTTTCGTTTCCCTACGTGAGCACATCACCAAAGGAGAGGGTCCCCGAGGGACGCTAACGGTGGAGGTGTGTGGGGGTGGGGGTGGGGGTGGGGGGAACTACTTGTGGAGGTGTGTGGGGGGGGGAACTACTTGTGGAGGTGTGTGGGGGTGGGGGGAACTACTTGTGGAGGTGTGTGGGGGGGGGGAACTACTTTTCGTGCAGGAAGTCGAGCGCGCGGGACTTGTCGCTGGGCAGCTGGGACAGCGTGGCGCTCCGCCGGGCCAGGCCTCCGCCGCCGCCGCCCGAGTTGGGGGCGCTGTACTTGATGTTCACCGCGTGGTACGGCTTCTTGGGCTGCGCCGCGTTGGAGCCGCTGAACAGACGGCTGAAGCTTCACGCCGCAACGCACGCACGCGCACACGACGAGCGTCAGGAAAGCCAGGCAGGATCGCGCCGTTGTTTGTTAGCGATGAGTTTGTTTTCAAGACAGTGAGTGACCGTCCCGCAAATACAACCGGGTCGCCAATGACAGAATGTTTAAATTTTTTTTTTCTTTTCGAATGTAACGGCGATAGCGCTGCAATCGGTATCGCGTGACGAGACGAGGCGGGCGACCGAGCAAGGCCTTCTCACTCACAACTGCCAGATGGAAGACTTGTTCTTCTTCTCCACGATGGAAGGGTGCTCTCGCGACGCCCTGGAAACCACGCGGGGGCGGCAACAACAACAACAACAAGATTATAACAACCATAATAAAGGCAAGCACGCCTACGGCCAATTTCATTATCCACTGCTGGATGAAAAGCTTGCCATGCCATGCTGGTCAAAGCTTGTAAGCTAAGCAGGCCTGTGCCTGTATTGTTCCTGTAAGGGTAACCACCACCAAGCACGAAACGGGGGGGGGGGGGGGGGGGTGAACAGGGCACTATGAAACAACCCCGATGAGTGACAGTGCGTGGGGGAATCTTTAACCCAGCAGTGTATTAATAATAATAATTTATAGAACGTTGCCAACCCACTGCAGGCTTGAAGGCCCTCACCGGATCATCTCGGTCCACCTCACCGCCTCCTGAAGCTCCATGAGCCGCTCCTTGTACTGGTTGCGCTCCATGAGCACGCGCGCCATCTCCACGCGTGTGAAGCGCTTGCGCTGCGCCATCGGCACGTCCTCCTGGAGGGGGGCAGGGAGCGTGCGAGAATTCGGGGTCCGGAGAGAGTGTGGGGTCAGGTGACAGTGTGGGGTCAGAGTGTGGGGTCAGGTGACAGTGTGGGGTCAGGTGATAGTGTGGGGTGAGGTGAGAGTTTGGGGCCAGAGTGTGGGATCAGAGTTTGGGGTCAGGTGAGAGTGTGGAGTCAGGTGAGAGTGTCGGGTCAGGTGACAGTGTGGGGTGAAGTGAGAGTTTGGGGCCAGAGTGTGGGATCAGAGTTTGGGGTCAGGTGAGAGTGTGGGGTCAGGTGACAGTGTGGGGTCAGAGTTTGGGGTCAGGTGAGAGTGTGGGGTCAGGTAAACCGTCGAGGGTCCGGGAGAGTCTCATTCAACCTGGGCGAGTGGAGGTGAGAGTGGCGTCTCTTACGTCATCCGGTTCTTCCTTCTTAAACTTTCGGAACTTGTCTGCTTCGGTTTTCAACCTGAAACAGACCGTTCTGATGAGCGAGTATATCGGTGAGTTGCATTGCACCGCCACCCACTCAAACCTACGCGGGGACGCCTACGTGTTAAAGGGGACACCAACATGGAAACCCACTGACCCTAGAGCTATCGGAGCGATCACCAGCAGCATTATCGCCACCACATCACCACATCCAACACCATCACATCCAACACCATTATCACCAGCACAATCGTCGTGTCCTTTACACGTAACCCGATGAGCATCTACCGAGACGTGGCTGAAGTCGCTCTCGGACGGGGGAGCTCTCTGCGGAGCTGGCCGGGGGGGGGGTGGTGGTGGTGGGTGGGGTGGTGGGGGGGGTGGTGGGGGGGGTGGTGGGGGGTGGTGGTGGGGGGGGTGGTGGGGGGGGTGGTGGTGGTGGTGGGGGGGTTGGGGGAGGGTGGTGTGGGGGGGGGTGGGAGGCTCGGCTCACCTCTTTCAGCTCCTTCGTCGAGCTCCTTCACGCGGGCCTCCACCCTGGCCTTGGCCTGGCGTGCACTCTCCAGCTCCCCGCGCAGCACCTCGTGCTCGCTCGCCAGGTCATCCACCTTGGCGATCAGGTCGTTCTTCACGATGTTCAGCGCGTTCCTGATTGGGGGGGTGGAGGGGGGGCAAATGAAGTCACGGCTCTGCTCTCAGGCTCTGGTTCAAGTCAGCCGACTCGCAGCCACACGTCACTGGAGCCGGCTCTCAGGGTGGCGATCCCAACCGTGCTTAGAACTTGTGCGAGCCCGAGCCGAGCCACAGCTGAGCCGCTTTCTTGGGCGTCTTTGGAAGCTCCGGAGCGGCTCAAGCCTGAGCCCAGCCACGTTGGGGGCCGAGCCAGGACTCAGAATATGGTCATAAAGGATCACTGTGCTCATTGCCAATACCGTCTTGCCTAGATCTCATCCTGAAGATGCTTCACATAGCCTCAGGCGAAACACTGCGTATCTAATTGTGAAATTTGGTTGTGTGAATCGCTCTTCAACTTATCGGAAGTGAGCTGAAACGATAATAATCTGCGTTGTTAAACGCTCGTACACCACGTGACAATTTTATTGGGTTGGCTGTGTCAGTTGGTGGACATAAAGTTGGCCAGATCATTAACGTGGCCTCACCCAAAATCAATTATGAATCATGATCAATATCATCATACCCCTGTGTATGTACATGCACATACATGTGCGTCGGTTTGTCATTCCAATGCTGGATGACTGCCTCCCAAGGCTGCGCAGGAAACGAGGGTCATCTTGAACATACTTCACCACACTGGTCAGTGCGGGTTTTGCGAACATGGGGGAAGTACAGAGCAAGTGGAATTTTCTGAGCTTCCCTCTGCTGCCCACAGCGCCGATAGCATCCGACCTGTGCGTGGCACGGTGGTCGCTCCCGTCCAAGCCACGAAACAGGCTCAACTCTGCTTAGTTTCCGAGGTCTCGTGAGATTGGGAGCATGCCGGCTGAGTTGGTCAACTCACAGAATGGTGTTTATTATTATTATTATTACTATTCGAGCTTACAGGTCGGCTATAAATCCACGTTATTCTTTTTAGAGCGGTGCTCTTCACTACAAGGCCCGCAGGCCACTGGCCACTCCTGGTGGCCCTTAGTGCCGCCCCCGACAATCCACAAAAGTGAAACAACCCCCGATCATCATAATCATCATTGTGCTGTCAAACCCCCAATGGTTTCAAGTGTGTGGTGACCCTCACACTGATGCTGTCTTATCGGCGAAAGTGCCCCCTCCTCTGAAAATGTAGTAAAGAGCGCTGTTTGAGCGTAGGCCACAAGCCTGCTAAAAGCTTGATCGGTGACGGTAGCAGGCCTTACTTGGTCTCCATGAGCTGCGTGTTTTCCAGGATGAGATTCTCGACTTCACGGCCCATTCCTGCGGTTGACGCGAAAAGAGCAACCGGTCACGTGGGACGACGCAGCAGCAGCAACAACGGCACGACGCAGCAGCAGCAACGGGGTCGGGGGTTTTACTGTCAACCCAACGGCGGCGCGACTACTCCACGCGCAAGGTTTGACGAACCCCAAGGGGGACTCGGTGACCCCTTCTCGAGTGGGGCACAACAAAGACGATGTTGAATCAAACACGGGGAACACCAAAATAAATCTAGATTACTTCGTCAACAACACTGACTTGCAGAGGGCCACCAAACAAAGGTGCACTGCCCTAGCGTGCAGCACGCTGCCAGAAGGGTCTTCTAAAAGACGGCTTTGTTGACAGCCATCGGGGGTGGCAAATCTCAACCAATCCGCTGTTACTACACGGAATTGCCGCGATGTATTTATTTTATTTGTTTAAGATACGATACGTTTTTAAACGTAACGATGTGATGATTATCGCGATATCGGTTTCCTCATCACGTTGTAATTGTTCTTTGAATTTTTATCGTTGTTTTATTTTCTATTATCTACTTCCAGATTACTTTAACAAATGATTCAACTTGAAAAATTATTCAACTTGAGTTCACTCCACATAAGCCTTACAATCATTGCAATGTGCAGTGTTGCAATGCGTAAGGCCCATGACACACACGCTGAATGAAATGCCATGGGAACATTGTCATAATTGGCATAGCATCAACAACCACAATTTGTAAATTGAATGTGTAATCGTTACTTATCTACGACTTCAATTCACGTTTGTTAATTCGCAACAAAAATTTGCCGGGATATTTAACACTCAAATGAATAGAACGGTAATCGGGATATGACAATAATTTACAAAAGTGCACTCACGATTATGATGCACCTTTATATCGCATGATATATATCGTAGTACCAATGATATTATACCGTAGTATCGCTATATATTGTAGTATCGATGGAAACTGTAGTATCGCCAGAGTGCGCCACCACGCACGTGTTACACTGCACTTGACCTCATGCTAAGCTTATGTGCAAAATCAGACGCTCTGTTATTCAATAAATGTAAACTATCATAATGCTGGTGTGAATGGCTATGTGCCATTAATCTTGTTCGCGATCTGTACGTTCACAAAATGCAAAGTGACATAGCCGTGAGTAAAAACAAGCAAGGTTGACAGCAGCCTTACCATAAAAGTTATCGCGCGCTAAGGTCCCGCATCAGGGGCGAGGGCGGGAATCACAAAGAAAGTTTAGAAAAGTCAGGAATCCGTGAAAAGTCATAAACGCACAGCGAGAGAAACAGACTCGTACGGCAAAACAGGAGACTCGGATGCAAATGGAAGGTGCGCCAGCCCGACAAACATGCACACGGAAGCACGTTCACGCGGAGGCGACAGTCGTCAAGATCCGAACCCGGTGACCACGTGCGATACCCAACCTACAGCTCGGTGCGCGATCCCTGTGGACCGGCGCAGTGTCTAACAACGCACAGCCGGTCAACGCTGCGGCGTAGAACAAACTGAGTCACGGCTGGAAGCACAAGCTGAAAGCGAAGGATGGTATAATACAAATGATTATGACGATGCAAAGTTCTCGGGCGCTAGCCACGTGCAGCAAGCCCGTTACACAGGACGCAGCATCACGCCGTTGCCGCGTCGGTTTTCACGGCTGCGCTGCACGGCTCTCCCGCGTGCTCTCGGGCCGTTACTCCAACTCTCGCTCGGCACGACGTTTCGCTCCGCGTGCCGGCAGCTTCTTCGGGAACCGAATTCCCGATGGCTATTCCCCGAGGAAGCTCCCGGCGCGGCGGAGTTCCATGGCGGATGTCGTGACGGACAACACGATGAGCGACGCGGGAGAGCTCCACAGCGGAGAGCGCCCAACGTGGGGCAGCACGCAGCTCACGGGAGGAGCACCCACGTCTCGGTTTAATAAAATAAAGTGACAGCCCGCATTGGTTCGCACGGGAGAAACCACAGCTTCGTTAGCAACTATAGCAAACCCGACCGGCGCATATCTTCTACCGCCCAATCACGCTACGTCCACGCCCAGGGCGCGACTTGCGTACAGTCGCAACTCCCACTTTGAATGGACGTTCACACGTCTGACCTTTTTTCCGTAACGTCCGCACACGCCTCTGCCTCTAGAGCGAGTCGGATGTGCGACGTTCTACCGTATTGCCAATAATTCGCCCTCTCGTTGTCACGGCCCCGGGACGCGTGGATTTACTGGGCGAACGTGTCCCCGCGTGTACGCCGCTCGCTGTAGACTTGGCACAGGCGAACTACGCGCACGCCGACACGAGTCCCTGCCGGACAAAGGCCGCCCCTGTGCAAGCGGGGGCGCTGCCCACATGCACGCCCGCGCCACGCAAGAGGCCATTCCTCCCCACAGATAACTCCGCAGGGGGGAACTCAAGGAGGCGTGGTAAAGCGGGAATGGCATTGGAGAGAAATAAACTGGGAAGAGATACACACCGGAAAACTCTCCTATGAGTCAAGGACATTCCGATGGAGCAGCAGGAGGGACAGAGGAGAGAAGGCACTTCGGTAAGGATAATTAATGCGGGGCAGAGCCAGGCCGGTGCGCAACAGGGGAAATCGAATTCTGCGGAAGCCACTCGATTCACACACGGCGCAATTGCAACACAGTGCATCGGCGGCGGTGACAGCGGCCGGTGTCCGAGTAGACGTCAGGTTGTCTAAAGCGCGCAGGCAGACGCTCACGTCTACGCATTTATACGAATACCGTCATCTCAAACTAAAAGTCCTTTTTTTGTTTTCAAGAAGTTGGAGCTTCCTTGCATTTCCACCCAGTCTGGAGGCTGGACAATGCGTCTGGTATGGCTTCATACTTACCATGACGTGTGATAAACATTCACTCATTACGGACATCGACAAATTACTCTGTACTTACTCACAACGTGCATTTGTATTCACACCATGCCCAACCTCTCAAGTACTTCACACACCACAGCTGCAATCACGGACACATTTGGGTGGCCATTAACCAACCCTCACTGCAGCAGGGAAAGTGTTATTATGCCAGACAGAACTTGAGTGCTCAAGACAATTGAGGTATAATCATTAATGATGCTACGTAATGAGCTGGTGAAACGTGACGCTTATAAACAGCCAGGTTCTATCTACGACAGGCCCCAAACAAAAGTTCGTGTCATCTGTACTTATCATTGCACCTTACAGTGGAAGAGTGTGAAATAACACAAGTGAATGCTCAATTGGTCAGATTTCCCTAACGGGCTGGGCGAAATGGGTCACATGGTCATGCACCCGAGTCCTTGGTCGCCCGGGGAACCGCTCGCCTGCCTGTCGTGCCGTGTGCGGAGGGGCGGCGCCGCGCGGAACGTACCGAGAAGGTCCGCCCCCTCGTCCACATCCCCGATGACCTCCGACCCTGCGGTGGAGAGCTCCTTGTAGAGGGAGTCCGTGTTGATTCCGAAGGCCTTGTTCACGATGCCCTGGGTGGGGGTGCTGCGACACAGCGGAGGCGAGACCGCACTCGCTCAGTAAGGATCACCGCCCCTCGCTCGGTAACCATCACCACGCTCACTCGGTAACCATCACCACCCTCGCTCGGTAACCATCACCGCGCTCGCTCGGTAACCATCACCACGCTCACTCGGTAACCATCACCGCCCTCGCTCGGTAACCATCACCGCGCTCGCTCGGTAACCATCACCGCCCTCGCTTGGTAACCATCACCGCCCTCACTCGGTAACCATCACCGCCCTCACTCGGTAACTATCACCGCCCTCGCTCGGTAACCATCACCGCGCTCGCTCGGTAACCATCACCATGCTCACTCGGTAACCATCACTGCGCTCAAGCGCTCTCAAGTGAGCCGCGCGCCGCCCTCGCCCCATCAGAGTTCCCCGTGCCAGCGCGGGGCAACGCGCCACTCCCTCCGCGGGCAGTGCCCACACTCACGGTGACTCCACTGCAGACTTGCCACAACGCGGGAACCCATTTTAACAGACCCCTTAGGCACAACCGGGGCTTGAACGCAAAACCTTGCGATCACGAGCGCACGGCTCACCCCGACTGCGCCAAACCGGACGCAGCAACAATTGATATTTAGCTTCGTGGCCTTGTAGCGGAAACGGTGAAAGTTGACGGTGACCGACGTCTCGCGCGCGTCGTCAACGCAGAGAGAGCAGTTGCTGCCGAGTCACCTGGTGCCGCCAAAGCCGTCGAGGGGAGCCTCCGGCACCATGTCCAGCTCTGGGGTGGAGTCGATGATGTCCTGGATCTCCGACCACTCGTCACTGCTCTCCATCCCTGCGTTCGCACGCACGCACGCGAGTCTAGTATCTCGAGTGTGTTCTGTTTCAGCAGGCGAGAACTCAAGAAGAGTGCAGGATGTTTGTCCGATTTGCAAGCGTGACCTGGGTCATCGAAACGACCCGATAAATGTCATGAAAACGAAGTACAACATCAAAGCAATGAGATATCAGAGTCAAAGACCACCATGGCACAGATGGAATTAAAACACGGTACACAAGCATTAATCGCCATCAAATTAAATATATTTTCTGTAACGAAATTGGGCGTGGACAAATTACTTTTAAAAACCATTAATTTTGTTTGTCAGCAAACCGAGGGAGGCCTGTTTAAAAATAAGCAACGGTTTGACAATTTGGTACGTCGGGTTGGAGATTACATCCAGCATCATCAGCTGTTCACAAAGTTGAACTCTTGCGTGGCAGGAAAATCATGGAAGTGATGTCCAATTTAGGATTAATGTGAAACTATTACATTTTTTCATATCCGAGCTGGATTTTCGGATTTTAGATTCATAACAAAAATTGGCAAAACATTCATCCAACACACCTAATGTGGTCAAGGTGGTCATGATAAAAAATTGACGTATATAAATCACCAGTGATCGCCATTCGCCATGGCGATGGAGCGTTGGGCAGTCGAGACGTTGGCACGTTTTCTGCCCAAAGACCCGACCAACACGGAAACGTTCGGCAACAAACACGAACCGCGGTGCTCATCTACGTGGACGAACGAACGGCTCTCCACCCTCCCCCACTTTGGGCGCTCACCTATGGACACGTTCTTGGTCTCCTGCGAGGCCTGCACCTCCGTGTGCCTGCTCCCGAGCCTCCGCCCGCCGGCGCGCGCCGCCGCCGCCAGACCGGCGGCCGTGTCGCCGCCGGCCGGGGAGAGGACGTCGGACGGCAGCGAGGAGGACGGCGTTGCAGACTTGGTACCGCCCGTGCTCGGCGTGGCAGCCACCGACGATTGGCTTGAGTTGGACAGCTCGTCCTGCGTGGTGGTGCGGTGGTGCCGGCGGGGGGGGCGAGTGGACGGAGGGGACACACACACACGCGGCGTTAGAGACGGGAGACGTCGCGTGGCGTGCGTGTGCGTTATTGCCAATCAAAATACATGAATAGAAAACAAACAAAAATTTTCAGGAGTACAGAATTGTGGGAATGAACTACAGCTGAGACAATTAGAAGATGAATTTAAATTATTGAGTAAAATTTTAAGAGTACTTAAATTCATGCTTGCTTAGTACCGCTCCTTTAAAAATGGAGGAAAACCTCCTACAAGCCAAGTGCAGTGTGATGCAGCTGATGATATCACCAAATCCTGCCCATCACCTCTCATCCAGCGGCACAAGAGGGAATTCCAATGGGGGGAACTTTTCAATTCCATGAGAATCATTTAACACTGAAACCAATACTATCGTTAACATTGGGAAATCTGGAAACACAATCAGCAACGGACATTTAGTGTGTTCGGACTTCAAGGCAATGTGAAAGGTACATCAAGTAAAACGTGCAGAGAGTTAAAAACGGACCGCGTTTAGTCATTTCGGAAGAATTGTCAACACATTTAGGGATTAAATCAGCACAGGTTAGGATCTTGTGCAGACACGGACCTCTTGCAATGTGACAATTTAAAAAGAGATTCATAAAAGTGACGTGATTGCTGGTTACTTGGTTATTGGAGACACATGACATCGCACAACGGAGATGAGAAACTCGCAGCTCAAACCGAGCGTTGGACCAGGTGAAAAGCGATATTTTAACTCTTAACGATTACTTGATTAATTGTTGTCATGTACATATGATTGTTGATTATGCCAAATGTTTGATTTGAACAATTACATGGGCACGCACCAATTTCATGCTCCAGGGTCTTTAACGTGCCCTCTGCAGCACACGGTACAATTTGGTAAATTTCAAAAGCGTTTATTTATTCTTCCGCAGCGGCCCAAGTCAGAGCCGTCCTCTTCATGCGAACCGATTCAAGAGGCAATCGCTGGCTGCGGCCTGCAGATGCGATCGACGTCTGCGGCCTCTCCACGCGGCACACTCAGATCAGCTGATCCAACATACGCGAATGTTGCCCATCTCCACCGCGCACGCACGCACACACGCATTAATAACAGACGTCCGTGATGGTCGTGGCAGAAATCGAGCAGATGGCCCCCAGGTGCTATTGGTCAAGCGAGCAATCAGAATCAGAAGCGACGCAGCAGACGCCACGAAGATCGGCACGCGTGCGCACAGGCGAGAGGGGTCCGTCTACCTTGGTTCCTTCCGCGGCCTCTTCTGCAACAGAAGCTAATTTACTATGGGCACTCGTGTGGGCCTCCTCCGGCATATTGTCCCCTCCCTCCAGACAGACATCACCGGGTTGACAACACGCGACAACGATTGATGAACCCGGCACGCGAGTACGAATTCAGTCACGGCAATGTAGCAGAAGCATCGTTGCACAAACTTTGAAAAATAAAGAGCACATTCGGTCCTAACAGGGCTTGTCGGTACCACACAGGGCGACAAACGCCAACGATGATTTTCCTTTACGCATTCTATCTCGCAATGACAAATATGCACGATAGCAAGCTCACCATGGTAGCTTTTTATCATAAGAAAAATATAATAAGGATACCCATGGTGTGCTTGACAGGGAACATCGTTTTGGGGCAATAAAAACACCAACGGGTTGAATGTAACATCTGTGGAATACGAGAATGAGTAGGAAGTGCGTCATACAAAACAGACATTGTCACCCTAACACGGCCCCATGTGTACCAGGGCCTCTGTGATGGGAGCGGAGCTCCGGGCTACCTTGATGCTGGCGTTGGCGATCACCTGCACCGAGCGGCCCGACTCGGGGCAGGGCCGCTCCCAGCTCTCGTTGCCCGGAGTGTCGCCCTCGCACGGCGGATCGGCGCACACGCCTGCCTCCGCCTCGACTGCCCCGAACGGGAAGAGGCTCAGCGAGGCGGGCCGCTCCTTCCTGGAGTGGGAGGCATGAAGCAGGCTGTGAGTGCCACGCACGGTACCCCTCCCCCCCCACCCCACCACGCCACAGTCTTCACCGACACTTTAACTCGGTTGGGAGTACACACGCGCCCGCTAATTTCCTAACGGGCGATTTTACTCTGCGCCCTTACACGAGAGACTACTTCTGGGGGTTTTGCTCCTTCCCTCTGGACAGACGGCACCTGGCTAACTTAGCCGGACAAATGACCTTCATCTACGCACCGCCCGGCGCCAGCCACAGAGCCCGGCGGTACAGGAACGGGCCCCTTCGCAGCTCGTGATCGAGCGAGATCCTCCCTCCCACCCGCCAAGCCACTGGCACGCCGCGGCACGCTAGGCGCTATGCGGGATTCTCGTTCGGTCTCGAACCCAGAGGAGGTCGCACTGTTTGTGGGTGCGTACTCGGCTTCAGAGCACAGCCTGGGTTCGTCGCAGTTTTCTCCACGACGAAGCTCGGTGTGAACAACGAACTGCGTTGAATAATTAAGAGGATGAGTGCCTATCCAGCTGCAATAGACAAATTACCAAATGGGCCGTGCGGGGGGTGGTTTCTGCACAGACGTGCGCCAGGGAAGCATACGCGTGCCCAATGGCGCACGCCGCTGGAGGAGAGTTCTCGCTAGGCGCGAGACGCGGTTTCACCTGGACAGGCATCAACGAGAGTGAACTATTCGTTTCACGATGCCTGGGCTCATTGGTAGGTTAACGGCCCCCATCACGGTTCACGAGTTCTTGGACAAGCGAACGGCTCGAATCACTTTTCAAGCTTAAATGTGAAACCTTCCGCGTTCGGATTCCCAGACCCGCCTCTGGATGTGTGCCAACGTTCTTAGTTTAAACAGGCGCGGCGCATCTGCCGGGGACGATCAGATAGAAGCAATCAAGCCGAATGACACAGAAGCAGACACGCACAAGCCACGTGAAACGCGAAATTCAAAGGTCACCAGTGAGTCAACAGGCCCTGCGCAAGGCTATATTTGTCCTCTCTGATGTGAACACGTTCTTTACTTTATTTAATTTATCTATCTGATGTACCCTGCCTGTGAGATATGCCAAATATACAATTCACTGACAATATTTCAACCGAAGTATGTAATTTCCAGAGCCATGGATGTATTCTAAATTGGCTTGTCATATTTAACCTAATTTATGCTACGTAAATGGAATTACATTAAACTGTCCAAGTGATAACACCACAGAACATTTAGAATCGGCGTGGTGCTGAGCCACGTTGTGCCCACAGGGACCGCTGCCACTGGGGGTGCCCCCTTTAGAAAAAAGCGTTGAGATGAGATACTATTTAAAAGGGCATCGGAGGGCGTGATATCAGAAACAAATCATGATTCACTATCTATTATTATGCAACTCGTGCAATTAGCGAGATTAATATTCTACTGTCGTTGTCTTGTAATCCAAGGTAACACTGCGGCCCGACCAGCTGCAGGGCCTTCCGCCTTCTCTGCGCACAATCCCACTCGCAGCACTGCGCCCTCCAGCGCCGCTGCTCGCTCCGTGACCTTTGAAGCCCTGGGCCCCCGCGTGCTCGCCGATGGATCCGTGCGTCCAGACACCCAAGCAATCACAGTTGGACAAGGATAATTTTAGTATTCGGAAATCCAGCCACTGGCAATCATCGTAGACCAGAGAGTGCACCACACGTGAGAGCAGTGAATGGTGAATTCGACAGCAAGGCTCGGTACAGAGTGAGAGAGACACACACAGAGAGAGCGTGGCCGCGATGTGAAGCGATACACGACCCGGCCCGGGTTTTCCAGAGCACCGGCGTCTGGCGATTCCACACAGAGGTCACGCCCAACACGAGCCCCTCTGGGAAACCCCGACTGCGTCAAGACTTGCGTGACGCACCAAAGGGCTAGAAGCTAAACGTGGTAACAGCACCAAGCCCATTACAGCACGATTGGCCAGAACTGCGGACAGCGATCGGTGAATGCTGAACTGTTGGTGGTTTCCTAGAAGTTGTGTAAACCTTCGGAGGGGCCGAGTCCGTGACTTGTTCCGCTACCGACCTTTGGAACTACGCCAGCTCAAGTCCCATCGGGCACAGTGGAATCTTTTAAATCAAATGCACAAACACATTTGTTTGCATTCGCTTATCCTTTGACCGGGGTTGATTGGCCGATGGTTTTTAATATTGTCTGAGTATTTATTGTAAAGCTTCCTGGTGTGGTCTGCATGAAGAGCTCTGTGTGCGAAAGCGACGCTTATCGAATTATAGCAGGAAGGCGGGAACAGCTGCCCCTCTTCCGCCCCTAACCTTGTGGACATGGGGGGGCAAGGAAGTTGCCGTGGCCCCCTCAATTAGCTCCATGGGCCCCGCTGACTCCTTGACATGGACCCCACCGCCTGATTTCTTTATCGATAACAAGAAGCCGGGCTAAGTTGCATTTTTTTAAATGAATGACATTATTCATAAAAATTCTACATACCTGTTTAGTGGAATACACTTTAAAGAGTTTAATACATTGCAGAGAGACAGCAGGATTGAGGCAAGTATTTTGTACTGCCTCGCAGTGCTCTGTTCGATGCCCTCGGTTAATCAATTCGTGACCTGCGATGCCCTCGCTTCTCAGATTCACCGCTGCACCAGCTGCCGGGCGGAAATTACTTTCTGTGGAATGCCTCGAGCTCTTGGAGCAAACGCAGCACCCGAGAGGGGATGGGAACGACTCGCTGATGGGAACGACTCGCCGATGATTCGAGCCGAGTGGCCGCAGAATCTGGATCCGTACGCCGTGTCCGGTGTGCGGTGACATGGCCGAACTGTGCAGAGGTTCACAATTCAAGCCTAGCGGCTGCCCTGGTTAAGAATAAAAAAAATAAAAAAACGCGCCGTCTGCAGGAGGCCATGTCTGCAAGCGGCATAGTACAAACGTGAAAAGGTTTATCCGCAAATTACCGGTAGACGATTCCCATCTGTGCAACACTGCACCCTACTAATAGCCTCTGTGCTATAAGGGGCGCAAGTACCAAATGTGCATTATTATGTTGCGTGTCATACATCCTAGGTGCTGTAATGGACTTGTGGAAGAGCACGAACACACACACACACACACACAGAGGATTCAATGAGTCTGGCTCGCTTCGTGCGATGAGCCGGTCCTATTCATGTTTTTAGGATTTATTTTACAGTGTGTGTATCACACGTGGCCAACGCTAATTAAAGAGCAAGCCAAAATAAATCACCCACCCGTTTCATTAACACCAATGAAACACCCTGTTGACACGATCAATGTGAGAACCAGGACCGGACCATTTTTTTTGACTAATGGAAGTGGCATTTAAATCATTCCTTGTACGCAGCGTGTACAACTACAGCGGTAGCAGCAGCAGTGACAACAGAAACCAACCCATGAAGAGCGCGGTTAGTGAGGGGGCGGTTTGAAGAATTCCCTCCCCGCATCCACGCACCCAATGGTACAACCCGCCAGCAACGTCTCCAAGCCTGCACAGTCATTCCCAATCCAAGTGACGATGCCCCACCACCAACCAAGGCCCAATACATGTCCAGCAGTGAAGGCGGCGGGGGTAGGAGGGGGATGTTGCATTGGGCTTGGCTACATTTGCTGTGGGATGTACCATTAGGGATGCAATAGCGGGGTGCGGCGAGGCAAATTCTGACCACCACCACCCCTGCGGAGGATTATGGCGAACCCACGGCACACTGCAGCAGCGGCGGTGGCGGCGATTGGCACAACACTCCCGACACAGCGGCACTGTACCCACCGCTGGTCCCCGCCGCCCGGCTGCACCTCGGGGCCAACGAGCCCCTTTTGCTCCTTCCTTAACGGCGTACACACAGCCACACAACAACGCATCATGCTCCGTCACACACAGGGGGGGGCCGGGGGGGGGGGGCGAGCGAGCACCGCTAGTCCCCCCCCGTACCGCAGCAGAGTGGTGGGGGCTGTGCCCACAAGTGGAGGGAGTTACCGCGCGGGGAAGAGGAGGGTCAGCGCGATGATCGCACGTAGCGCGATGATCGCACGTAGCGCGTGAGCAATCGGAACGTTTATTTTAATACTATCAGGTAAGGGCCCACTGAGCTGCAATATAGCTCGTTTTGAGAAGTAACCCGGCTATCACATGCGACAGCTCAACGAATTGGCTTATCATCATGTGGCCATTGAGAGCAGTAGCCATATACTCTAAATGCGTGATGCTCATTCTAAATGTGGAGGGAAAAACCAGAAGAACCTGAGAAAAATGCAAGCGACCGCAAAGAAACTCCAAATATACAGCAACAGGCGTCAGGGGTCGGGATCGAACCCACGAACTCCTGCATACCGGGCGAGGCAGTTAACATCTCGTAGCCACCGTGGCACCCCGAGGTGGGCCCTTTATGAAAACATTGCCGCCCGAGAAAGCGGTGGCCCGCTGCCATCGGCTAGAAGAAACACGCGAGCGACTTCATCAGGGGGCTCGCGAGCGGTGGCTCTGCCACAACCAACCATTGCCGAGTGTTCGTTGGCGTCCACTTGTTGTTCTCCGACAGCATTTTACACGTTACTCTACGGTCCATACCAGGGGTCTCCAACCAGAATAACAAGAGCGGGTATTATTTTCCGCCGAATTCGGCACAAAAATCAACATTTCAAAGAGCCCCGATGCGTGTGACTGCACACACACACAACGTCACGAAGCGGTCCGCAGAGAGCCACACGCGGCACCGGAGCTGCAGGTTGCCCACCGCTGCTCTCGACCACAGTGCCCCTGTCACGCTCATCTCTCACGCGGCTCCCGCCACGTGCGCCAGCAAGCGAGGGAGCGCTGGCGACACCTGGGGCGTCACGGCGCAGCACGTGGTGGCCACGTGCGCCTGTTGGTGTTTTCGCCCCCTCAGGAGCGGTGGGTATCCTCTGGTTAGGCCCGAGTGGGTTTTAACGCAATAAACAAAGATCCCCCGAGTAGCCTAAAGAGACTACTGGGGCAAGTGCTGTTAGTGAGCACCTATGAAGGCCGTAACGGCACACGAGGGGGGTGGGTGGCCAGCACCACGCCCGGCCGCCTTTGTCTCCCCGGTGGCGATGTTTACACACGTCGCACCAAGTACCCAGGACCGATTTGAAGAATCGTCAGCGGTGTTGGTCGTGTGTGGGAATCGAACTCGGGTAGCCGGGCTCGTGGCGCAGCGTAGCGCTAACCGCTGCGCCACCGCTCCCAGGCAGATTCACCCCCTCCATCGTCTCGCAGTCCGCTGCTCTGGGACTCTGCGCATCGCTAAAGGAGCACTCGAAATGTTACGTTACTTCATTACGTTACTTCATTGGCACAGATCTCAAGTGCGCAATGGCCACCCACGCTCTCTCGAGCGCGATCCGAGAAACACATCATCATCACCAGGCTGCTGGTGATGATGATGATGATGATCACCATCAACAGTCACGGTCTTACCACTGCTGGATGAAGGCCTCCTCATTTTGTGTCTTCATGCAGTATCAGCTAAAGCGGTTCCAACTGTGGCAATGGTTTTGATCATTTCTCTATCGTCTTTATGAAGGCTTTGGTGAGAGCCCGCCCCCCTTTAAAATCGCCTACAAACGCCAGGCATGGTTGCAACACCTTTTACAAATCCACATTGTTAAGTTAAAAGGACACCGCGATGATAGGCGATCGCCAACTAAGCCTTCAGTTGGCCACAGCGCCAAACGAACAAATGCAACCCAGACGGGTCGAGCGCGATTGGAAAGAAGCCTGCGCTCAGGTGGTCGTCTCGACGCGGGCTTTAAAAGCAGCGTTACGTAACAGTTCTTTCACCGATGATTTAAACGCGCGCCGAGACCAACAACCGCGGTCCCAAAGGGGCAGGGCGCACGTACGAGGGCGCCTGACAGGGTCGTCTCGCCAGACACGACGCAGGTTCCCACCACACGTGGAGAGCCGTGGTGGTAACCGTGGATCCCTGTGGAAGTGGGTGTGTGCGCGTGCATGTGCGTGCGCGTGTGTGCATGTGCGCGTGTGTGTGTGTGTGTGCGTGCGATGGCACACGCACACACCCAAGCGAGGCCTCCCTTGAAACCAATCTATACAGTGCGGCACGGCCACACGAGCGCTGACAAATGCTCAACAGCCTTTGCTCAGCGCACAACACCTGGAAACATTCACCGTGCGTCGTCACTCGTGTGATTTCCGTCGGTGCCGACAACATCTTATCGATTCATATCGTCATCATTATTATTTGTTTTTTCACGAGCGCTTTCGTAGCGCTGCCGTCATGCGCTTGAACCGGTCTGCGTTTCACCAACAGGGCTCTCACCGTGCAACAAAACAAAGTGAACTTTAAACTTGGGAAAGGGATTCATTCATTAATTCACGTGGGTCCGAGCGTGAGTGCGAGCGGTGGTGGGTCTATGAGAGCGTGGCGCAGCGCGAAGGACACGGCCGAGGGATGTGAGCGCAGAGGCAAGACGGCCAAGCCATACCGTACCTGCTTCTCCAGTGGAAGCGGCTGTGCGCAGGTAAGCAAGCGTGGCGGCAGGGCGAACACACAAGGGGGGGAAACGCAGTAAGCGAGGAAGGCAAAGCAGCAGATTCAATGTTCGTATTGAAAAGGTTTTTTCCTTCCTTTGTACGTTTACTTTCAAAGAGTGCATCTGTGTGCCAGACGGACGAGCGAAATGGAAATAGATGAAACGGTGTCGCCCCTCCCCCCCTCCCCCGAGAGGCCGAGGCTTTGGTGGCCTGAGAGGCTGTGGGTTAGCAGATACTGCCACCCCGCTAAAATGTAGTCGTTAGCTAATCAAACCTTTAACTGACGAGACAGAGTAATAGCGCAGGCCGGAAAACCGTACGTTCTAAGCACGTGGTATTTGTGCATTATACAATAAGCATCTTGAAGAAGTGCATTGTGGTCCTATTGCCTTTTGATGATGACCTAAGACAAAGGGACCACAATGCACTTCTTCAGGAAATGCCGATTGCTTTATTACAAATTTGTGTATGTTCAAAACTCATGATTTTCAGCCCCCAGACGGAGCGCAAGAAACCGCCTGTCACTCCGCAGACGGCGTCACCAACGAGAGTAAAAACGGAGCTCTTTTAAGGTGCGGCTAATTGCTTGTGAGGACCATCAACCCCCTGGGTTTCGTAAAATAATTTTAAGGAAGAAACAGACACCGTTTGCTGAACTACAGGGAGGGTCGGACGATTGGTTTAAAATTAAACTCCGCGTGAGAACTTCCGCGTGACTTTCTAGCCATGAGAGGGCTTCGGGACGGAGTTGGTGCAGCAGTTGTGCTGTTCCTCCTCCGTTGGAGTGCAGACTGCGTTGGTTTACAATCTGGCCCACAGATCGGGGTAAGTGGCCACAATCGCACCGTGTGACTTGCAGCGCCACTGAGATGTAATTATTAACATCACGGGGTTTTTGCCCCCGCCCCCACCCCCCACGGTAAAAGACCGGGAAGGGAATACCGCTGTTCAGCAGCACAGCAGGGGGCAATCGTCCTGTTCGTGGCGAAAACCAACGTGGCGATGGAGCGGTTTCACGGAGGGGAAGGGGGGAAAAAAGGGGAAGGAAAATGATGAAAGGGCATGGCAGGGCCGAACTACAAAGGAAGAAAAAAAAAAGCCAGACATGGCGTAGAAATAAAACTCACTGAAGCAGAGCGTCAGCAGTCTTTACAGGGGGCAGGGGATCGAGCGTGAGGTTGTACGAAGCGGGGTGGATTGCGTGTGAGCGCTGGCTCTATACACGATGCGAATAATCCGCACGTTAACGTGGCTGCGAGCGTGGACACAGCGCGGCTGTTTTGCAAAGGCAATGCGCGCTAATGAAATGACAGAGAGCTTATGCACTGCCCCTTCATGAGATACATGAGATACATGCATTTTACAACTCCGCCCAATTTAGTCACGCACGCCCCGTGTTTGTGTTTGTGTGCAACGTGTAGGCGTATACAGACCAGCATGCATTATCAAAACGAAACAGGTCGAGTCCAGATATACATTTCCAACTGCAATCTGCGGAAGTCGTATTCGAAAATGGCCGTCGCATTGAGGCAGGAACACAAACACACACACGTTTGTACGTTAGGTAATGAAATGTGCCAGTTAGTAGTAATTGTCAAAGCGGGCTGGTGCTGCGCATACGTTTTACGAGAAGTCTGGGAGCCGTCGGGCTGACCGGCGTTTGCCTGCTGAGCTTTGGTCCGCTCCATGTGCTCCATGTACGTCTGAATCATCTGAAAAGCACGGCGACAAAACACAGCGTGCGCTCGACACACACGCACGCAGTGCTAGCCAGGTACGGGCCCCACTTGGCAATGTTTTCAACAGACATCTTGCCCGGGTTTCTTCAAAAATTATAACATTCACATGGAGATGTTTTACCATACAATTCTCCTTTATACAGCACCGTAAAGATATTGTAGAAACTCGTGGGACAAGAAATACGGGGGGGGGGGGGGGGGGGATTTCGACAATTAACATATACTGTACCCGTACAAAAATATTGCTTAAAAGCGAAGTCAAGTCATAGACAGAGATGAAGAGGAAGGTCTTGAACAGGGGGCAGGAAGTTGGTCGCACAGATGGCTTGGAGAGACGGCGTTCCAGGCTACCCGAGGATAGCAGAGAACCTTCACCGCTTGGCCGTGCGCCCGTACCTCTGTGTGCCTCTGGTGCAGCATGTTGTATTCCCGCTTCATCTCCGCCTCCCTCTCGTCGTGCCTCGTAACTGCAACGGGGTACGGACGTGCGTACGCGCTGTTACCTTCACGCTCTCGGCCGTGGGCGTTCGCGCTGAGCCAGGCAGCAGCATCGTCGTTTACGGACTGCGGCGGCACCCTGGGACCGCCGCTAAGCTTGTTTACTTAGCGGACACGGCCAGTGACGGTGCGCGTCGCCGTCCGTCTTGCGCCACGGCTACGGTTTGGGGAGCCATGGTGGCTGGGAAATGTTAACCACCTCGCCTGGTATGCAGCAGGAGGTCGTGGGTTCAATCCAAACCCTGATGCCTGCTGTATATTTTAAAGTTTGTATGTCCTGCCCCCGCGGTTGTGTAGATTTTTCCCCGGGTCCTCTATTTTCTCTCTCCACATTTAAAATCAACGTGCGCTTATAGAGTATTTGGTTGCTATAAATTTCCACGTGATACGCCACTTTGTTGAGAAGTCATTTGTGATAGCCAGGTCACTTCTGAAAAAGAGCTGCAAATCTCAGTGGGCCTTACCTGGTAAAATAAAAAAAAACACTCTTTGGTTCTTTCGGTAAAGTCACGTAGGTATAAAATAAAATAAATCACGATGTTTCAATCGCAACACTAGCAATCACCATCAGGTGGGAAACCACAGCAAGAAACATTTTTTGCTGAAGTGGGAGAGAGATGCCGTGGTAAGAGGTTATATAGGTGAGAAAGGGGGTAGGGGGAGAGAGAGGGGGGGTGTGGGGTAGGGGGAGGGGAGCGCTGCGTGGAACGCTAGGAGAGGGACGTGAAGCTGGACGGGGGGGAATTGGGCGGGGTTGGAAGTGGGAAGCCGAGAGAGCTGGGGATGCATGGGGTAAGTTTTTGTTTAAAATCACACGCTGTTGCAGGCCTTCCTGCCACACTCGACGCGCTGAACGACGTCGGCAGCACCAACGACGCTGCACTCCTCAAGGCTCGCGCGAGAATCGAGTCGGCTGCCGACATCCGCGGCAGTTCTACGCGGTGTCCAGCGACACACGGGCGGACATGCCGCGCTCCGCTACGGTCGTCTATGCGGTGACTGACTGGCCGAAATGACCACAATACAAGTCTGCACCAGATGTTAAGGGGTGCTTTGCCAAATCATGTACAACGCTTCAAATATATTATTTTTACTACACTTGATCAATAAGTAAAGCTTCACCGAGTCTCACCGAGTTTTCAGGAGGGTCCTGCCAACCTTTCGCAGGAGCGTTGGGCCATGTTGCCGCTGTGTACGTGATCACCAATTGAGTAACTCAGTTCAATGTATTTGGTCAATACCAGTTACATATATATATTTAGCAATGGGAGGAAACAGGAGAAGTGAGGAAAACTATGCGGAACAGGGCGAGAACCTGCAAACTCCACACACAGAAAGATGCACGATTCGCGAATCGAACCCAGGTCCTTCTTGCCGTGAGGCGCGGGTGTTACCATGGGCACCACCCTGCCGCCCAAATATTAAAAATACCCCGCTCCTATTAAAAATTAACCAGGCGCGCGTGCGCCTGTGTGCAGCACACCGCAAACGAACCGGCGCGCTTTACTCTCTCACTCGGCAATCAATGGAGCAGATACGATGCACGTCTTGCCGTGCAAGCAAATCGGTCAAGAATAACTCCGCTTGCAAAAAAATAGAAATGATTTGCCGATGCTGCCGCATTAGGTGCACAAGCACAAAGAACAAAAACAATTCAACACATTGGTCAACGGCACTGTGGCGTTGAAGGGAATCGCGTACATAACCGGTGATGTTACGTGGCGCGTACATTGGCAAAATTGACCCCGCAGGTTACTCAATTACGAGTAATCTGCCTGTTATGTCACCCATTAGACGTTTTCCTGAACTCTTACTTTGGTCACAGTAGTTTTTTACTTTCAGCTCCAGCTGCCTGGACTGAAGCTCCAAGCCCTCCACCTTCATCTGCAGGTCCTTCTTCTCTTGCTCCAGGACATCTTCAAACTCGATGTATTTCTGCACGCACAGCGATAGCAAGGCACGCGCTCCCATCACACGTTCACATGCTCCCATCACGTGTTCCCATCACACGTTCACACGTTCCCATCACGCGTTCACACGTTCCCATCACGCGTTCACACGTTCCCCCATCATATGTTCACACATTCCCATCACGCGTTCACATGCTCCCATCACGTGTTCCCATCACATGTTCACATGTTCCCATCACACATTCCCCCATCACGCGTTTACACGTTCCCATCACGCGTTCACATGCTCCCATCACGTGTTCCCATCACATGTTCACACGTTCCCATCACACGTTCCTATCACGCGTTCACACGTTCCCATCACACGTTCACACGTTCCCATCACGCGTTCACATGCTCCCATCACGTGTTCCCATCACATGTTCACATGTTCCCATCACACGTTCCCCCATCACGCGTTTACACGTTCCCATCACGCGTTCACATGCTCCCATCACGTGTTCCCATCACATGTTCACATGTTCCCATCACACGTTCCCCCATCACGCGTTTACACGTTCCCATCACGCGTTCACATGCTCCCATCACGTGTTCCCATCACATGTTCACATGTTCCCATCACACGTTCCCCCATCACGCGTTTACACATTCCCATCACGCGTTCACATGCTCCCATCACGTGTTCATACATTCCCAACACACATTCCCATCACATGTTCCGAGATTCCCATCACACGTTCCCACGTTCCCACGTTCCCACGTTCCCATTACGCGTTCCCACGGTCCCATCACGCGTTCCCACGTCCCCATCACATGTTCCCATCACGAATTCCCACATTCTCACCACATGTTCCCACGTTCCCATCACGCGCTCCTACGTTCCGATCACACTTTCCCAACACGGGTTCCCAACACGCGTTCCCACGTTCCCATCACGCGCTCCCATCACCCTGTATGGAAGTAGTCTCTTCCAGCTTCTGGCTACCCTTTGAGTGTCAATGCCAAACTCCATGTGATAATAATGACTTCGTACATTTCGTATTCGCACCCTTGTTCTTATATTGCAGGGCTATCATGAAGGAAGGCAGCTATGTTTCAGAGACATAGTCTGTAATAGTCTCACAGTAGGGGGTGATATTGCTTTGTGCAATCCCAATTGAGTAACTTGTGGTTACATTTCCGAATTTGCCAAATTTGTACGATGATGTCGGCAGGCTATGGCACTCTTCAAATAATGTAAGGGGATCATTCATTATCCACTGTGAAGCAGACGCTGTGTAATATTTTACGGTTAATGCACCCGCAATAATAACCAGGGCAGCCTGCAGAATCCGCACCGCGAGCCTCTGCAACAGGTGGCGAACACGTGACCGCTGGGGCCACGTCACCGCGCAAATTCACAAACTGCGGTCCGTGATGCCTTTCAAAAATAAAGATAAAACCTCCCTGGTGCAGATGTGGCCACGAACGATTCGTCCACCGAGGCAACAGACGATTGAAGTAAATGTTCTCAGCCGCAAACCAACGTCAACGTTTTACAAAACCCGATAAACGTCACCACGGGATCCCTTCAACAGGAGTCTCGTGCCCTCCACCTGTCTGCCCGTGACGGTGACCACCGCGATAAACAAAGACCAGATTCTACTTCAGAACATGTGTCCCATAGCCTCCCTAAGACAGGATCGATTTCACTTAATATTTAATACAATTGCAAGCTAGGCGGAAAAGAGGTTCCCTCAGTCGGGCCAAGCCCCTATCTCCTTGCTAGTGAGCCTCACACATGCATTATTGCTCTCCCATCTCAATAACACCAGTATATAGATTCCTGTGGTGTTTTTTTTGTAACTTAGTTTGGAATTGTGTGAAGATCAGTCTAAAAATAATCTACTTGTGCTGCAGGGAATTTATTATTTGGCTTCAATTTGCATTTGTACAGTATTTTAGATTTCTCATGTGACACGGCAGTTTTTTGTTGTTGTTTCATGAAAAACTAAGACGAGGTTTTACCCTTGCTGGCAATAAAACAGGCGGTGTTACGATGTTCAAACACCAAATAGAAACATTTTGCAAGGAATCAAGTCTGCACTAACCACACGTACTTGTGGTGAACATGCAAACAAACATGCTCTGATTGATACTGGCAAAAAGTTGCCATTTTGTTGTTGTTGCTGTTCAGATAGCGGTTCACGCTGTTGCTGAGCTTTGTTGATTTGCTTTTTGTGATATTTGACGACCAAGGTCACTCGTTCCTCTTGCAAATTGAGACTCAATGTCTCACCTGGTTAAAATAAACACTTGAAACGTTGCACTCCAAAAATAATGAGAAATAACATTCCGCAACATTACAGAATGTCTCGGAGCGCAGTTTTATTTAGCCTAGGAGACCTCCTGATGGCAGGAGGTGGTGGCAATACACGTGTCCTGTAATTCAGCACTGTGCAGGCGAGGGTTGTTGGATCGAACAAATGTTGCGAAACTCCCTTCCCATGGACTCATCTCCATCTGTTCCATCTGCATTGGATAGAGGGTTGCCCACTCGCATGTGCGGGTCTTCTCCAGGCACTCTGGATTCCTCCCACATTCAACCACGAATTAACTGACCGCTAACACCGTAACATATATACATATAAAGGACCGCAGAGCTCGGGGGTGAATTTGGCACCGGCTCACAGCCTGGCTGCTGCTGCCGCCTTCCTGCTGGTCTGTGCTTCCTCCTTCCTCGTGCCTCCGAGTGCGGCTGCACGTTACAGTAGGGGCGATTATCTATTTACTACTATCATTACCACCACTGCACGTCCACCATCGGCACAATCACGTTGGGTCGTTTACCGAAGAGCGAATGCAAGGCGTGCGCACACGTACACACAGAAAGCGGAACGATTCTTCACATTTATTGGTGGAAATTTATGCTTACACACACTCACGATACGTGAATTTGCACACCGCCTGTAACAATCCAATATTCATGATGTCCGATAATTATGTAGGGATGTTTACGTTCAAAGCGATGCTGCCGTGGTATCGCGGTTGGCGCGCGCCGCCACTTGCAAAAATATAGGTCATCAATTCCATCTCCCGGCGTGGCAGTTAAAACAATGCGCAAGTTTCCCAAATCTCCTGCCTCACCGAGCAGTATGAATGGCTTCACCACAGTTAGTCAATGGGCAGGTCGCCCTGTGGTGGGGTAAACTGTGAGTACTCCCACCTGTTCTGCGATGTCAGGCCTGTAGTGAAAGAGTAGGCCAAATACCCTATGGAGGAGGCCTCAACTAGAGCTCCCTCTGGTGGAGGCCCCTTCAGCCAGCAGTGGTGTGATAAAGAAATTGCGGGGCTGCGCCTTGAACCTTTAAAATTATACAATGAAGAAAACATAAAAAAACATGCCCCAATTCAGAAAACTGGACAAGGGAAACAAAAAATTACCGATTCTTGAATAACCTCGTGAACCCGAATCGTGACAATAAATCGAATTGCCAAGGGCATGAATAAATTACAGACATCCCGGATACGCTGCCTTAGGCGTCGGGCATGGAATGAGTCATCTCCCTCTGCAATCCGTTGACGTATCAAGACGTTGAGCCCACACTTCTATTCAACAATTGATTCTCTATGCTTTCCTTGGACAGTGCCTGGCATAGAGTGGCGATCGAGTGGTGAAGTGCACTGCGCGCCGAGCTCGGCGCTCCGAGCTCGGCGATCCGAGTTCAATTCCCGGCCACAGAAAACATCGGTGGCGAGTGATATCAGAGCTGGCCCTTGGCCCACGCCCTGCCCTCAACAAACTGAGAGCAGGAAGCGATCACAGGGCTGATGCAATGAGAGTTGCGCTTCATCACAGCCAAAGAGGGGGCAGAGAAAAAAGTTTTGTGACCTTTTCCATTGAGCACAAAACGAACACAGCAACGATGTGTTGCAGCAGAGTCAACGGGCTCGTTGTTCTGTAGCCCCGGCCTGCAATGAACACGTGAATTCCCGAGGGCCAAAACGATTGTGCTGCCGCCTGCCATCCCTCTGTGTGGGGACGTGCGGACATGACCCTGCGCCACACAGAAGCAGCGGGTGTCGTAACGAAATCACCCGGCCAGGTGACTCAACGGGAGAGCGAGCGGCTCACGACCAGTGTTGGTAAAAAACTTCGCACGACTGTATGGGGAAGGCCACAGTGGTTGTTCTGTGAAGAGACTCGTTCTCGCCACAGGAATGCAGAATTTCCACCACTGGCTCAGGTCTATAAACGCGAGTCCTCATGCAATTGTTTTTTACAAGTCGCTTGGAAAGATGCCGCGTACCCTTAAATTCAGATCCTGCGTGTCGACTAAAAGCGGACGCCTGACAAATGGATAAACACTGCCACCGAGAGAAAACTTGCTGCGGCTAAAAGAAGCCGCCCTATATAAAGACTCTACGTGGAAATAAACAAGGCAGCCGTACGGAACGAAGCTGTACGATGCAGAAGTGAAACACCCCGTTCATTAACGGCTGCTTCGCACGTGGGTCATGTTTTCACGGTGGGCACGACAATACGGGGATGATGCCGTGGTGTAAGGGTCGGCACATCGGACTTTGCAATCCAAAGGTCGCCCGTTTGATCTTCCGGCACAGCGGTTGAAACAATGGGGCAAGTTTCTTCAAGTGCACCTCCCCGTTCTGCCTCGGCAGTATAACTGGGTACACCGCGGCGAGTCGGCCGGCAGGTCGTGTGCGGTGGGATAAAGCGTGGGCACTCCCACCTCTTGCAATATGTGTTGCCATCGTGGAAGAGTAGGCCAAATGCCTTCCAGGGCAGGCTCTCTAGAGGTCCATCGAGTGGAGGCCCCTTTGCCAGCAGAGGCGTGAGCACAGCAATTGCAGGGCTGCGCCTTTAACTTTCACCTTCACCTGATGTGGTTAAAGAAGGTTTTAAAGGCTGTCAAAGTATGGAGAGTTGGGTGGACAGTGGCACCGAAGAATAAGACGGGTTAAAAAGTGATCGCACATCTTGCCTTGGAGCCCTCCCCGTGGTGACGGCTGTCACATGACACACGT